TCCCAAATACGTGTCTGACCTGCTGTGCCCTTTACTCCTCCGGTCGCAACCTTAGGTCTTTGGGTCAGAACCTCCTTGCTGTCCCAAGGACCCACTTTAAAACCAGAGGTGACCTGTCCTTTGAAGTTGTTGCTCCTAAACTGTGGAATGCCCTTCCTCTGTCGCTACGTGTGACCGACACTGTCGATTCCTTTAAAAAACAGCTGAAGACATGGCTGTTTGGACGAGCTTTTAGTTGAAAAGGCTGTGATTGTTTTAATTAATTTGTTTTAAGATTGCTCTGTAACTTTTATTGTTGTGCCCCTGTGAAGCACTTTGTGATTTTATCTGTGAAAGGTGCTATATAAATAAAGTTTCTTCTTCTTCTTCTTCTTGTTTATCTTGACATGTTTGACTAAATTAGTTAGTAGCTGAGGGGTAGACAGTAACTTCCAATCATTCAAAAAAATCTGCAAAAATCAGCTAAATCCCAGACAATTACCAATGTCAAAATCGGTCTTACCCCTAATCACCAAGTATTCTGATAATGCAATAGTATATCATATTATTTATTGTGTGCAGTAATTATGTTTTAAGGTGAAATCATGAAGTCTACTTGCACCGTTTCCACTTGTTTGCGAACAGAACTCATTTCCACGTACGATACTCCTAGAAAAATCTGCTAATCAGTCGTTTCTCACCTATTTATCATTCCGAGAAGATGATTTTTCCCTCTTGTCCCATGAATGGCAGAGTCGCTCATCTTGCCTGTCGTGAATACATTTGCATGAACCAAAATCTCATTTAGGGCATCGTTCCATCACTGCGTCTTTCAGGTCTGTCTGCTCCTCGCTCAGTTTTGGTGATTGAAGGATGAATTTGTGTAAACTCGTAAACGGCATCCATCAATTACGGTCTCGGCGCCTTGATTTAATTCCAAGATACAAGAAGGCGATGGTGCACTGTCGTCTGGGAGGAGAAGAGAGATGTAATGAGAAAGCTTTGAGTGCCGAGGGCTGACCACTATAAGCTGATCCCATTCGATTCACACCAGCAGCTTTGGTCTGATGGAGAGAATACTGTGGAGTGTGTGGGGCTTGGTTTAGCATGCACACAATGAAGATGTAGCAAAAGGCATGTGCTTAAAGGTATAAAGGAGGATTTTCCCATATTTTAGGAAAGAACCGCCCTTTCTACTTTTTGAACAAAACTCTCTGCTCTTATAGGACAAGGACGTATAAACAGAATGATTGACATTTGGGAGGACCAATAGTGTTGATGATCCACCCGGAAGTAGAAAATCCTCTTGTATACCTTTAAGAGAATGATAATTTCTATATTTTTCTGTAAAAAACATTCATGTATGAACTGTTTTTGTGAAGGTGATTGTTGGACCCAGTCGCTTGAATGCTTTCTTACCTTACGTATACTTATAGCAGGTTTGTTCAAAAAAGAAAGGGATCTAAATTATCGTCAAGGTCTTCAAATGGGTGATTATGTTGCGATTGTCCCTTCTATTCTTGGAAATACTCAAGGTCTGGTCCCAATCCTATAATTGTGATTCCCCGTATAGCAGTGGCAATCATATGCTTTTGTGTAGATTCAAAGAGTTGATTTTATTGGATTCAAACCAAGGTCAGAAACCACACATTTCTGCCAAAGAGTCACAAAATGTAAAACGCACCTTATACAGTTTTTAAGCTTTAATCTTTTTTAATTTTTTTTATTACCGGGCCTGATGCAACCATTGAATACACAAAATGTATGCTTGAATAGAATACATTATGGGGAGCGTGTAACAGGGCATCTATAGTGACATATTTGTGGATCTTATTCATCATGTGCCACTGTGGTACATTGCATTGTCACCATCCTAATTTATAGAAATAATATACAAAAAGAAACATTGTTCATTTTTGTCAAGGCCAAACATTGAAGAGCCGCAGGTTACTTACCACTGGCTGTATACTTTATTGTAAATAGCACACTTTAGACAAACAGGAGCATGATGGGGAGATGTTTTAAGTTGTGTGGCTAGAATATGAGTAATCTAATGTAAATGGAAACACCCAGTGAAAAAAAAAGTCTGCTAATCTATTCTGTAACATTATTCTGTAAGTAGCAGCAAACTGAACTCTCATTTAAGTCGCTAAACAAGCTCTGGCGTCTTTACTCACCATGGTTTAAATACACACTTATTTCTTGGCTTCTGTTGGATCGGCATGTAATAAAAAAAATGCATTGGTTTTATATAGCGCTTTTTTGGACACTCAAAGATGCTTTACATGTCATTATTCACTCCAAACACAATGGTGATAAACTACTACTGTAGCCACAGCTGCCCTGGGGCACACTGACAGAAGCGAGGCAACCAGTATGAGCCCCTCCGACCACCACCAACCATTCACACACACACCAGACTCATTCTGGCAATGGGGGTAAAGTGTCTTGCCTAAGGACACAACGGCAGCTTGGCACTTTACAGTCGCAGCCGCCCCACTGTGGCATCTGGTGTTCCCAGAGGTTAAGAGTCTTGCCAAGGACACTACAACAGCAGACATCAATGGGAGTCGTGGAGAAGGTGGGCTCAAAGGACTGAGCCACTGTCGCCTCTAAAGTGTAGTAGGTGTAGTGGTTCTGGCGGCATCCCCTCGGTTGAGTCCCGGTTTTTCACATTGTTTGTATTGGTAATATTGTTCCATTTGCCTCTGACAGTGGATCCAGATAAGTTGTTTCCCACGTTTGAAATATAGGTAATGAAAGTAATGGGTCGTTCAAGATGTTAAGATATTGGACTGAATTTAAACTCATATATCTGTGATCTGCAAAGCCCTGTATGAAATTAGGTTCCCGATTGACATACTTTACCTTTGTGTATCAAGTTATTTAGAACACACTATTGTTAGTTGGTTATTATGATTTTTACCTAATTCCTATTGATTTTGTCCAGTTATAGTGTGGGCTTATTTAGATGGAGTTCTTAAAAAAAAAAATTGATGTACAATTGATTCATATTGCACTGAACTAATAATACCCTAATAATATAATAATACTAATACTAATGAGACCCTAACCCTAATAATATCTGGTGGCAAAAAAATAGAAAAATAATAAATAATATTATTCAGAGCTGTCGTGTGGCATGATACAAATTGAGTTTGTCAGTAGGTGCTCTCAGTCTGTAATTGGGTCACAGCGTGTCTGTACGAAGTTATTAATCCTTACATTGAAATATAATCATGGACCCCCCTTCTCCTCATGTCATTATCACTTGGCTGTTACAATTTCTGGTGTCGCTGTGAATTGTAATGGGAAAAAAGGAGAGGAATTTAATAGTATATGCTGTATAAGGTAGTAGTTTCTCTGAATGATCAAACCTTTTCCGGGTTTAAAAGCTTTATCTAATGCTAACTCAAGTATTGTAGTTGGTACTTGAGTTAGTGTTTAAAATATACAATGTAGGGGGTCGTTTCATTTTTCCAGTTTGAACTTATGCTTTAGCTCCGTACATGAAATCCTGATTGGAAATATATTATACAAAACTATCTCAGAAAAAAACAAAAATGAAGCTTGCTCATTGGCTGGGATTCCCATTACTAATTTCCGTATAGTGTGTCAGTCTATAGGGGCACCGTTGTCTTCCACTGAACTCCTGCTTTTCAGTGCAGTGTAGCCTCTCCATCTCTCATCCGTCTCTTGTTCTCGTTTTCAGAATTACAGCTAGCATCAGCACCAGAGTCTGAAAGGCTTTTGGCACACATTCGTTCGCTCAAACATACACCGCCTCTTGAGATGGAAACTGTCTCCATAGCAACCCTATCCTTTTTTCCGGTTCCTGAGCCGCAGCGGTAGCAGGTCCATCGAGGGCGTGGGGGGTTATGAAAAAAGGGGGGAAGAAATAGAAATAAACAAGTCTTTCATGCCCCTGTATGTTACTCTCTTCCTGAAGTTATAATCATAGACTGTGCATCAGGCAGTCCAAACTGTGGCCCCTTGTCTCATTTTAATTGGACTTTTGCCTTGATTTAAAAATAGCTATTGAGATCAAAACTTTGTCATCCAGCCAACTACAGTTGCACCATTATTGGCACCTCAGTGTAAAGCTCAAAACCTCAAGAATATGTTGACGTGGTTTACTGACATTTTTGTGATTGTGTCTCAAAATTCTGCCCCTGGAACTAATAGAGGTGAGAAAGTACAAATTGGTAGCTTCAATTCTGACATATGTGAACATGATGTCATACCTCATGAAAGCTGGTAACAGCCTGAATCCAGTCAAAGCAGTTTTACAATCCGTGTTACCGGCCCCTGGACAATAAAACTGAACCAAAGTGGTTCTCGTTTTGGACACCCCTGCTATGTAGAGATGGTAAAAATACATCTTTGTAAATCCAGATAAGAGCCCTAACAACTGACCAATCAGTGGCCCCCAAATTTGGCATAAAGGGAATAGCGTAATCAGGAAGAGACTGGTGCTGCTGATTTAGCTAAAAGCTAAAGAAAATTATTTACAATTTAGGACAATATAAACATATAAACAAATGAAGACTGAGACATTGAAATATGTGTAGCGGCCATTTTACTTTCAAATTTATATTATTACTGACCAAAATAGGACCTTTTGAAATACTTTATTCTTTATTGAAGATCTATACAACAGCCCTAATGTCAGTACTGGGATACATAAGGTGTTTCGCAGGTCACAGTTGTATCTTTAATTAAGGCACAAGAGAGTTGCAGAGCAGCACGGAGTCCCAGCGCTCGTAGCCATAAAATGAATGGTGTTATTAGCGGCGCAGCCTTTTCTTAAAACCAGCGACACAATTAAATGACACAAATTGGCTCATTTCAGTCTCAAGAATGGGACTGTATTAGCTGTGATCACCTCCTTTCCACTCGTTCCTTACCAAGTCACACTGCTCAGATGATCACTTGACATTCAATTTCACGGATTATTTGTCTTTTTACCTGGACAGATTTGGTGCACTTGTCCTGACTTTCTGTCCTAATGTGTGTTTCAGCTGACATTATCTCAACAGTGGAGTTTAACTCATCGGGGGAGCTGTTGGCAACCGGGGACAAAGGAGGACGAGTGGTTGTCTTCCAGAGGGAGCAGGAGGTAAGAAATGCACCACTAATGACACTGGCCTTTCACTCACGGACTCCAGCAGCACGAGCACTCTCAGTCCAGGGTAAACGCATTGATTTCTTTTGTATTTCTCATCATAAGCATTAGGGCTTGTTTGGAGAGCTGCTGCCTTGTCTTTCTTCCATCTTGTGATCATGTCAAAACACAAAATGATTTTTGATATGCTTGAAGAACAAGTAATGAGTTGTAATTACATAGTTTTCATCAGTGTATTGGAAATGACTCGAACATTACACAGCTAGTAAGCTCCACCATAGCAGCCACTTTGTGTTTTGTCTTAAAAACATGTATCATTATACATCATGAACAGACCACGGCACACAACCACAGTGCTAAGGAAAGTTCCATCAGTATATGTGGTCCAACACAATGTGGAAATTATTCTTTTGTTGAGTTTGGTTGTATTGTTTGTACAGATTTTTGTGTGTATGTGTTTCTTTGTCATCCAGCAACTGTGTGAGTTTGTGTACATTTGATATATAATTTCTTGCCAACACATAAATATTTGATTAGAAAAAATGAAAATAAATCAAGCCATTCATCATATTGCTCAAAACACAATCACGTAGCTAACTACCAATCACTCCATACAGTATTACTGCCGTAATGAGTGCTGCCAACAGTCGATTACATTCAATGCATGGAATAAATGAGGCATCAGGACAATTAAGATCATAAAATACGTTCCACTATTCCAGCCTCATGCACTCGGTCCCACTGCCGTTAATATCTCTCCAAATAACTGAGTAATAATCTCCAATATAGCTGTACTTCACTGCAAATCTTTGATGTAGAGCGAAGAGACTTAAGGGAAATGCAAAATGGAAATGAAGCAGCAATGATTTTAAATGGAAATCAGGAATATTATTTGCATAATATTTGATCTTTGGAAAATAACATGGAAAAGCTTTTGAGGCATTTCAGTTCAAAATCTACCACCAACATGTTCCAAAATGTCTTACATTTTGAACCAGGATACAAAACAAAAATATGCCCAAACCAATATTTAGAGTTATGTTTGCTTATTCCCTTAGTGTGTATTGGTCACTTTGGTTGAGCACTTTGTTGAATAGACAGCCCTTGTTTCCATTTGGAGGTTGTGGCTTCTTCTGAAATCTTAGCCTTGAATAGTCATAATGTGTTTTACTGCTAAATAAATAAATTACTAATAAATTAATTAATTTCAATATAACTCTAAGTAGGGCTGCACGATATATCGGAACAATATCGTTATCGCAATATCGGTGCGTGCAATATCCATATCGAAAAGATGTGCGATAAAAATAAATATATGTATATATTTTTTCTTTTACATTTTTCTTTTTACATTAAAGACAACAAAACAGACAGACACATCAACATTCATCAAGAACAACAAACAAACAAACAAAAAAGTATATAATTATATGCATTTGAATGTCATTAATGTTGTGCTTTTTTTTTTATTTGTTTCTTGCGTTTCAATGCAGATTGCAATTTTAGGTGAAAGGCAAAAATATCGCAATAATGTCGTTTTCGAAATACTAAACACTCATATCGAATATTGCTCTAATTTCCAATATTGTGCAGCCCTAACTGTAATCATGGATTGCATATGTTGTAAAACAGTCATCCTCAAAGACAGTTACTTATTCTCGTCAAAACTTGAGGTTCTTCACATGAGATCATACATATTGCTTTATACTCTGCACTGAACAGTAAAAAGACACTATAAAGGTTGGAGTGTTTTTAATTAAGAATGTTCAATCAAATTAAATCAATTACCGATAGTTTCCCCCCCAAAATCACTACAACAGTTGCCTCAATTTCAGATTTACACAAACAACACATAAGAAATAAAACAATAAAACACTGAAGAGTCAAAAGTATAATGGATTAACCAACGTCTATTAAAAGTTCATAAAAGTCCCCGATCACCCTCTGTCCTTAAACATACATGCCCACACACAGTTTTGTTAGTAAGCCCTACCAATGTTTACATATTTTCTCAAACAAAACATAAATATTTACAAAAGCTGACCCGTGCACCCCACTGACCCACGCCCTGTGTCTGCTTGCTTCGATTAGAGCAAAAGTCAGCCGCAGCGCCGAGGGGAGTACAATGTTTACAGCACATTCCAAAGCCACGAGCCGGAATTCGACTACCTGAAGAGCTTAGAGATCGAGGAGAAAATCAACAAGATCAAATGGCTCCCGCAGCAAAACGCCGCCTACTTCCTCCTCTCCACCAACGGTAAGGTCACAGGTCCAACCAACTCTGTCATGTCGTATCATAGCGGAGAGTAATATATGTTAATGTAAACTGCCACGTTGTGCATTAGCGTTTGGTCACAGTTCATAGCACTTAACTCCCCAAACAAAGTGACTACAGTGAGTCAAATGGGTTCGCAGTGTACGCGGGCTCGTCACAGTAATAACATTATCACGGCCATGTAATTATGCGAGCTATATAGGGGCTATTATTGTGGCATTGTTTTCATGGTTTAATTATGACCCGGAGGAAGAGGAGGGGGAAAAAAAGAGTGAGCTATTTACCTCCCAAGGAACAATGTAAGAGCTGTAATAGAAAGAACGAAAAGAAAAGGATTCACAATTTAACAAATTATCTTTAATGAATACATTTTTAGTCAATACATATCTATTATAATTAAAAAATATTGGGATATACAGTAATAACAGTATATTCTACATGTGTGTCCTCTCTTGCTGTTATTATTTCAGCGATTTTTATCATGACTGCAAAAAGGAGTAGCTCTCTGCCGCTTCTGTTGTGTAAAAGTAGCTCTCCGATTGGAAAGGTTGGAGACCCCTGGCGTAGATAAATCTTGCCGTGTGTGTTTTCTGCAGCGAATCTTGTAGTATTTCTATTTTTTTTGTATCCAGGCCTGAGATCGGCAGAGTACTACAGCTTTTGGCCCCCCGTGACTCAATTCTCATTACCTTCTAAACCAGAGATGATTGAGTGAAGGTGACATGTTCCTATGTCGCAGCTAACAAGCATGATCTCAGCAGTCAGCAGTTTTGAAATAGATTTTATTTTAGCCGACTGATAGTGTGACTGCAAGCCTTTATTTGATATGTTTTATATCATGAATGACATAATTATATTATTGTTATCGATAAAACTAGAATGAATATGGTATATGTTTTTATGAGAACAGATTAAACCACAGCTCCTAGAATCTATGGTTTTATTTTTTATTTTGTCCTATATACATTTTATTTCAAATCTCATGCTGCTTTCCCCTAGTCCTTTAGCCACAGAATGTATTATTTTTAATGCTCTTGTAACTATTTATTCATGGCCGTTTCTATCTTGTTGTGATAACCACCCCCGCAAAGCTCCTGGCCCGGACCACGTGTCTCCGGCCACTCTGAGACACTGCGCCAGTGAGCTTACTCCTGTGTTCACGGACATTTTCAACACCTCTCTGCAGTCCTGCCATGTCCCGGCCTGCTTCAAATCCTCCATCATTGTCCCCGTCCCGAAGAAGCCCAGGATCACAGGACTCAACGACTACAGACCTGTAGCACTTACGTCTGTCGTCATGAAGTCATTTGAACGCCTGGTTCTCTCCCATCTCAAGTCCTTCACCTCCCCCCTCCTGGACCCCCTGCAGTTCGCCTACAGAGCCAACAGATCTGTAGACGACGCCATAACCTGGCCCTCCACCACATCCTACAGCACCTGGACTCCCCGGGGACCTACGCCAGGGTCCTGTTCGTGGACTTCAGCTCTGCCTTCAACACAATCCTGCCATCCCTGCTCCAGGACAAGCTCTCCCAGCTCAACGTGCCCGATTCCACCTGCAGGTGGATCACTGACTTCCTGACGGACAGGAAGCAGCGAGTGCGTCTGGGGAAGAATGTCTCGGACTCTCGGATTATAAATACAGGAGCCCCACAGGGCTGTGTTCTTTCTCCCCTGCTCTTCTCCCTGTACACCAACCACTGCACCTCCAGCCACGACTCCGTGAAGCTGATCAAGTTTCGCGGACGACACCACCCTCATTGGACTCATCTCCAACAACGATGAGTCCGCCTACAGGAGGGAGGTGGACCGGCTGGTGTCCTGGTGCAGTGGTAACAACCTGGAGCTGAACGCCCAGAAGACAGTGGAGATGATTGTGGACTTCAGGAAGAGCACTGTCCCCCCACCCCCACCCTCCGTGATGGACTCCCCCATCACCTCTGTGGAGACCTTCCGTTTCCTGGGCACCACCATCACCCAGGACCTCAAGTGGTAGCCGACCATCAGCTCCCTCATCAAGAAGGCCCAGCAGAGGATGTACTTCCTGCGGCAGCTCAGGAAAGCCAAGCTGCCTGCACAGATGTTGGTGCAGTTCTACACGGCCATCATCGAGTCCATCCTCACCTCCTCCATCACCGTGTGGTTCGCTGGAGCCACAGTCAGGGACAAACAGAGACTACAGCGCATTGTGCGCTCTGCAGAGGAAGCGATCGGCCGCAGCCTTCCATCGCTGCAGGACCTGTACGTCGCCCGAGCTCGAGGCCGGGCTGGTCGTATCACAGCCGACCCCTCTCACCCTGCACATGGACTATTCCAACCACTCCCCTCAGGCAGGAGGCTGCGGTCCATCAGGACTAGAACCTCCCGCCACAAGAACAGTTTCTTCCCCTCTGCTGTTGGACTCTTGAACACTTCTTAACCTGTCCCCCCGCCCTTTATAAAGTCACTTTACTGCCCATCATACGTCACTTTACTTCACTGTACTGCTGTCACCTTACATTGTGTGCACCATGTGCACTTGTATATTGTAAATAGTAACTGTAACTCTATTTTAAATTTAAATTTATTCTTTAGAAGTGTTTTTTATTCTTATTTTTATTATCTCTTTTTGACTGTTGCACTGAGCCAAAGCAATTTCCTAGTCTGTGACCTCCTGTTACTTACGTGGCAATAAAAATGATTCTGATTCTGATTCTGATTCTGATAAGCACTTTGAGTTGCCTTATGTGTGAACCTGTGCTATACAAATTGGCAATGAAAAAATATGCCAGTGAAATGTCATATACTACACAAACACTTAACGTATTAAAGGTGTATAGGAGGATTTTCCCAGGTTTTAGGAAAGAACCGCCCTCTCCACTTTTCAAACCAAACTCTCTGGTCTTATTGGACGAGCACGTGTCACCAGAATGATTGACAGTTGGGAGGACCAATAGTCTTAATGATCCACCCGGAAGTAGAAAATCCTCCTATATACCTTTAACTTAAATTGTACATTTCTAAACCAATCACTGTGAAAGACAAGCTGCTCGTCCCTGGCTCAATTCTTTCTCCAAAGCAATGAGTTTGGGGAAAACTTTAGCCTCATGATCGGTGTCTCTCGGTTTTGCATTGAGATTGAGAAAAGTTGCCAATTTTGAGACAACCCTTAACAAGGTTTTACCAATGAAAATGAATTGAGGAGACCAAGACATACAATAGCAATGAGTATGGGGTATGATGTTAATAGGGCTGATGTTACTTATGTTATATTTAATTTGACATCTTCAAGAGAGGCTAAGAGAAGAACTAAAAATTACCGAAACATTTGGATCTTACATTTCAATTTCAATTAATTTCAATATATCTTTTCTTGGTTTTCACTTTATTTCCTATATTACAATCAATCATTTATTTTCATTCACAATTTTCAATAAACAAATTCCATCTTGTGTAGTCGCATATGACAGTAGGTCACCACAACCTCTCCACAGTGAGTTACCCTTCGTCACCACCAGGTAAACCTAATCTTGCACGTTACATTACCTCCCCAAGAAATACATTTACTGCCAGAATGAAGAACCCCAAGAAGCTACATTATCGAGTCCGTCGGAATCATGACCCCAGACGACATCCAGTCTGGTTTCAATCGCGGTCACACATGAGTGAAGAGACGCCTTCATGCATGGCTGCTGCAGGAGCGCTACAGCGAAGGACGGGAGCAGATGGTCGGGTCCCGTGGCGATGTGGCCTCTTGCTCCGACACCCATATTCACAGTGGAAATGATAACGGTGGAAAAAAAAAACATACTAGCAACCACTCGAGCGAGGCACAGAGATGTAACTGGTGCTTATGACCACACATGGAAATTGCCCCGGAGCTTGTGCATGTTTTCAGTGGAGAAATGCTCTGGCAACTTGTGGAGTGGCGTCGTTGACATCTACGCAGCAGATCTCATTCATCATCTTGGTTTGGCACTGCTCCAGCTGCTGCCAGATTGCATTCCCTCCCCCCAGTATCTGAGAGTAACTGTAGTGAGTAAAGGCGGAGGGGGAACGAGAAATAAGCGATAAATAAACTCGAAAGGATCAGGATGCTGTGGAGTGAGGTATGAAGATGATCAGCGTCTCATAGTGAACCTCATTTCATATTTGCACTTGATTCACTCATTTTTTTCTTCTTGCAAAATGACGAGGTATGCACAATCAAGCTTGTTTTCAATTTCTGTCGATACTTGGAATGAACTGATTCCAGTGAAAAGACTTAAAATAGCCTCAAATTACAAATATAGCCTGATTGATTTTTTTTTACTGGTACTTTTCTTGCAAGTAAGAACAACATTGCAAGGGTAAACTTAATCACGCAAGGCAAAGTAAGTACATTTGTGTGACACAGTTTATATACAAGGCAACTCAAAGTGCTTAACAAAACAAGAAAACGTCATAATCAGGAACTGGTTTCACAGAATCGATACCCAACCAAAAACATTATCCTGGATCTGCACCAGTCCATTATCAAAAAATGATGTGTGTTCATCAACATCAAAACGTCAACAGTGTCAAAATTACTGAAATTCATATCAGTTCCAATAAGATAAAGCTCAAGTGGCGACAGTAGCTCAGTTGGTAGAGCCTTAGCCTTTGAGCCAGAAGGTTGTGGGTTCAAGCCCACCTCAAGTCATTGTGTCCTTGGGCAAGACACTTAACCTCTGGGAACACCAGGTGCCACAGTGGGGCGGCTGCTGCTGTAAAGTGCCAAACTGCCGTTGTGTCCTTAGGCAAGACTTCAGCCCCATTGCCTAGAATGAGTCTGGTGTGTGTGAACGGTTGGTGGTGGTCGGAGGGGCCGATGGCACATACTGGTTGCCTCGCTTCTGTCAGTGTGCCCCAGGGCAGCTGTGGCTACAGTAGTAGTTTATTACCACCGTGTATGGAGTGAAAGAATAATGACATGTAAAGTATCTTTGAGTGTCCAGAAAAGCGCTGTATAAAACCGATGCATTATTATTTAACTGAATTTTCCTTTTTACGATTTGCTAAATTCACACAATTTTACAGTACGTTTCTAAAAACACATTACTAGTGACCTCATAGCTGGTTACTCTCTCACATTCTTGTCCATTTCTGGAATTTTTACAGTTTATCAAACAAACCCGTACATAAAGTGTATTTCCACAACAGTCTTTGAAGTTAGTGGGTCAGTTTAACCCCATTATAAAGCTTTGTATCTAACTGTCTGTGTGTTTGTCGTTCCCAACAGACAAAACAGTGAAGCTGTGGAAGATCAGTGAAAGAGACAAACGTCCAGAAGGATACAACCTGAAGGATGAAGACGGCCGCATTCGAGATCCGTCCACCATCACGTCCCTACGGGTAAATACAAACAGACACAGGAAACATGTCACAAACTCATCATTGGTTATTTCTGATTCATACCTAAACAGTTCCTCAAAAACACTAACAAAAAACATCTACTCGCTCTACTTCATTATTAAAAACATGCATCAAAACAAACTACATCTATTACGTTAGAAAATAGATTGGATTGTGTATGCACTACTGGCAAATTCCAAAGGAGACCAAATGCATTACTGTCTGAACAACTGAGCTCTGCAAACAGCCTATTATGCTCAATGCATGAAATAAATGAGGCATGATGGCAATAAAGATCATAAAAAGGGGAGCCGACATCGCACCAGCCCACACTCCCACAGCCTCTGATGTCTACGTATGTGATAACTCTGATGAATGATGTGCAATAAGGAGAACCAGTGGGCAGCTGTATTTCAATGCATACTAGGACACTCGCGACTCGGACTGGACTGTAGAAAGTGGCCTGAGCACATGGAAAATGAATGACCGTTGCATAAGCCTACATTAGTATTGATATTCCGTGCGCATGAAGGTGGTCCTCAGACAAAATGAATGCTAGATATACACTATTTGTACCTCAGTTATATTGTTATTATTCCTTTTGACATACTGTATATCCCCAGGTCGGTCATTGGGGTGAGGTGAATACAGAATGCATTTGAGTTAATTGAGCAAACTATCTCAGTCTTTTGGGACACGGCGCCTCAAAAGGTGCTCTGATGATAATCCACTGTGTGCGCATTAAGCAGCCTGAAACCCAGGCTGGAAAAAGGCTCATCTGTCTATGATAGGCCTTAATCCTCCATAACGATCTTAGTACTGCTGCAGCTACATCTCTTATACTTCACTTTCCCGAGACTTTTCTCTGATAAAACTGTAGCTTAACTTTACTAATCGTTACAAGAAGTCCATTTTCACGGAATAATGAATACATGTGAAATGTAAGCTTATTATCACATATCACAGCCTTATGTTATGTTAATGTAGAAAATGGATGGATGGATGGATGTTATGTTAATGTAGGTTTTCTTGGTATTAGTAATATTAATAATGTATTCTATTTATGGGCGACAGTAGCTCAGTTGGTAGAGCATTGGCCTTAAGCCCAGAAGGTTGTGGGTTCAATTCCCACCTCTGCACCTTCTCCACCGACTCCCACTGATGACTGCTGTCGTTGTGTCCTTGGGCAAGACACTTAACCCCACTTTGCCCAAAGCCCCCACTGAAAGATCAAGGCTATGCTCACAGTCAGAGAGCAGCCGTCCTCCTGTGGACTCACCACCTGCAGAGGGTCAGTGAGGGGCTGGTGCTATGAGACTTGGGTGGCATCTCTGACTGCCACCCCCCTGACCCAGAAATGGATTAAAGGGTAGAAAATGGATGGATGGATGGATGTATTCTATTTATAAAGCACTCTAAGATGATTTAGAGGCATTATTTATTCAGTCCACTGTAGTGATGGAGGACTAGTGTAGACAGTGTAGATTTTTGACGTTGTTTTGCCTATACGGACACAGCAGTTCTCGTCAAAGCTGGAATCGATTCACAGCCTTTGCATTTCTCCATGAGCTATCAATCATGGTAAGAAAACACGGTTCATTGTGTAAAGTTTTACATTTCAGTCGTTTAGGAATCTCATACAGAAAGAAAAACACAGGAATATAAAATGTATGAGATTCCTAAACGAATCTCATACATTTTATATTCCTGTGTTTTTCTTTCCCAATAGCTACAGAGGACCTATGTCTGTGCGGTCTGAATGGTTCAAGTAAATTAGTGCAGCCATAAAACGTGGCCGTCCACCCCCGAAAGACAATATATGACTTTATTGCTACTTCAGTGCTCCCGGTATGAATGGCCCACCCCTCTTGTGCCCCTGCTCTTATCACACAGCCTTCTCTTTAATTTCCACACAAAGCAGTTCGTCTCATAGGGCAGAGTATGAGTGTGCGTGTGTGTGTGTAGTGTGTGTGAATGTGTGTGTGCGCGTGTTTTGGCCATAGTAGATTAGTGCAGTGTTCAGCGTGTTTCTGTCTCTCTTTGTCTGGTCGGCCAGGGGATCATAGCAACCTGGAAGACGGGTCTGGACTGTGGCAATCCGGTTTACTGTGAAATCTAAATGGGAGGTGTTATAGCACAGCAAGGGAGAGGCAGCAGGAGGCTTAGAGATATGAATTTGAGATAGAGCTGTCTACAGGAACAACAAAGACATGCTGCAAAACCCAGAAACAAAACCAAATTTGACGCATGTTTTTGCAGATATTCAAAACCGGCTGACCGAACTTTGAAGAAATGTAGCTATGTAATAAAATCTATATTACTACTCCCTCGCACGGTTTGCTTCTTTGACTATAGTATGTATTTATTGTCCTTTATTGTCACATCTTTAGATCTTCTTTATCAGAGGGCCGCACTCACTGAGCCGATTCGCTCTCAGCCCAAAGTGTCAAATATTGGTACACTCTTTTTCCTTTGGTTTAGCAAATTTAAACATTTTAGGGACACCATCTGGCAAGTAATATGCTACAATATGGACTATGAAGGCTCTAAAATCAACGGTCTTATCCAGTGTTTGAATGGATTAGAGCGGCACACATTCTCTTTAATGAATTTTTAGACAGTATAGTTTAATATATTTGTATATGATGTACATTGAAGTGTTTGCCACATCAATGGATATGTAATTGCTACGCTTGAATCATTTAGAGAGCAAATCCCTCTCTCAATGTGGGCCTCCCAAAGGCTTTGCGCTTTTTCCCACTTGGTTTTCGAGTTGTTCCTTGCCGATGCCGGAGGGTCTAAGGACAGTGGTGATGATCCGGGACATTTAAGGACATTCATGGACATGTATTTACAATTATAGACATGGTCATCCGCCCCTTTTGGACCAATGTGTTTGTTGTTATTGCCTATTATTTCCTGTATTCAAACTGATGGATTCTCTGATCTTTGTGGGTGAATGGAATCAAATCGGCTAGCATTGTATCACAGGTGCTAAAAAATACATCAAAAGGTCATCTCTCCACAGACCCAACCTGTAACCTTCACTTTATTTTCCATATTCACTTTGATAACAGTATAGCACTGTAGCACAAATACAATGTTAACAGGCACAGGGCAAATCCTCAACCCAAAAACATTAAATACAGCAATAGGCATATTGATTTGACTTGGTTTCTGATTACACATCATTTATACACTAATCATAAGGTTCCTTAAAGTAGGAATATGTAGGCATTTCCTGTCAAATCATCATTAAAGGGCCCTAATATGTCAAAAGGTAATTATAAACCATGCTCTTTTCCAATACTTATTAACTGAAAACAGTTCAGCCGAGATATTGGAATTTCAAAATTGGATTTACAGCCCTTGTTATTGTTTTCATTACGATGTCCCGCCCTCCACCGTTTTACCAATCAGAAAGTCCGTGATCCGGGGGCCAGAACTCACCACGTCGAGCTTATATCACTGGTAAAGTAACATGTGGTCGCAGTACTGAAAAAGGATTTGTTATGATTCTCAAATCATTAACGACAAAACAAGAAATGAAACGAGGATTTCTATCGGAGCTTTTGTGAAAAGGATATTAGTTATAGATTTGTTGTTGACAGAAAGTCTGCATATCTGGCAACCTGAGTCAGGGAGAGTGCAGTATCACTTTTGGCCAGATTTTTACATGTTGCTCGTTTAAGGATTGTTTTATGTTTGTAAATGATCTACCGTTTTCTGTTGACGGACACATTTTCAAAGAGAGGCCCATCACTGGTTGTTAGCCAGTGCCCGTAGCTTGTAGCTGCCATTACTGGGGTTTGGGGGTTAATGTTTCTCTGACTCTCTGAACAGACAGTGAAAGACATGAAAATGAGTTGACACCCGTAGAGCGACAGGGACCTGCTGAGCTGCCCTGCCTCTCTGCCAGCGCCAGCTACAAACCTCCAGAAAGGACATCGGGGTGGGGGGGGTTCGACGCTGATTTGTCCGCCTCCCGCACCCCTCCTGTCCCCCCTTTGTCTGGGTTTTATCGGGCCAACGGGGGGCGGCGTGCGAGCTGGTTCAGAGCCGCTTTGAAGCATTGGGCAGTCCCTCTGTGCATTTGGGCATGTGTTGTCAAGTGTATGGGAGCCAGCCTTGAATACATTCAGTTGAGTTATCATTCTCTGGCAGGGATCAGAGATGCCTTGAGGCTAGTTATGACTCCTCAGCGTTCCCACATGTAAGCAGATTTGGAATTGCATATGAGTAAGAGAGGAGAAACACTGGGAAAGAAAGAGATGCAGAGACCTGATCCGTGTCTGTCTGGAAAATACAGTATGATCACATCTGAGGATTACAGCTTTAGTGCATTTCATATATTTTTGTATAGCCCTAAATCGCAACAGCAGTTGTCTCACAGGACTTTACAAAGTTCACCATGAAGAAAATCAAATAGTTTGAAGGCAATGCAATTATGACAAACACAGTGAGACTCTGCACACTCTTAGTCTAGTCTCATTTATGAACTTTTGAATCTGATTTGAACAACAACCATTCTCAAAAAGCTATAAATAAAATTAACATTCAAACTTCCTCAAGCAATCACTACAAACCTGGTAACACATTTTGTCGTTCCACAGTGGCACATAGCCTTTTATGGTCCTGCATGTGAGCGGAAGATAAAAAAATCGGTCTCCTTCATGCATACATCTCCAGGGCCATCAAAGCGCCTGCAGCCGCTCACTCACTGTCAGCCACATGAAGATTTGTGAAGTAAATGCCACGCGGCTCCCTGCGGTCATGCAAAGACATACATAAAAAACACCAGATGACTGTTTCATGCCGAGCCCATGTGCAATTGAGATGACGCTCGTCCATGAAAGGGCAGATAATCGACACCCCAGGAAATACAGCCATACAGAAGAGAACGTATTGAACCTATTATGATGTCATTATGGCTAATAGCTGTTTTCTTGTTTTATAGGTGCCTGTGTTGCAGCCTATGGATTTGATGGTGGAGGCGACAGCTCGGCGCGTGTTCAGTAATGCTCACACTTACCACATCAACTCCATCTCTGTCAACTCCGACCTGCAGACGTTCATCTCCACCGACGACCTCCGCGTGAACCTCTGGAACCTGGAGATCACAGACAGAAGTTTCAGTATCCTCTCAGTCTAATTTGCGTTCTATTTATTTTGGACAAATCATTTTTGTCATTTATACACTCAAAATCCAATCATTTCCAAACATTGTTGAACTTGCAGTGAAATCCCTTGGATTTAATAATCTGCAAGGTTGTGGAGTTTGTGTTTTATTATTTTTAACCTGGCTCTGTTCTATAATGTAATCCCTCTCCTTGCCTTAAGCTCTGCTGGTAAGATTTATTTGAGGAAAACCGTTGCATTAGGAAAGTCTCTCTCTCTTCACATTTGAATGTAATTGACATTCAGCTCAATACATCAGCTCAAGTGGAACATTAATTATGTCCGTGGCTTTCAACCTTTGTTGCTTTTGCCCTTAATGATGTCTGACATTCCAAATACCCCATAACTTACTCCTTTTCTATTTAATTGCATATTTACAATCCATTTTTAATATCGATGCGATTTGTCAGATCAGATTATAAAAGGTTTGAAATGTATGTTTGTATGATTTACCACGTTGTGAAGCGCTAAAACATAAATAAAAAATGGCCACAACCAATTTTAAAATAAAACAGATAAAACATGTATATACAAATATATACAACATGAAGGCTAAATATGCCGACCACATATCCCATGTACCACTTTTTGAAAACCACTGGACTAAACTACAATAGACCATAGATTGTGCTGTTGCTTCGTTTATTTAAGTTTATACGTCACCTGAGTATTTGTATCAAGTGTTTAGCAGCTCTTATCATTGTATGAAGCTTTTTGATTTATCATGTCCTATAGAACTAAACCGCTAAAATTGCACACACTGTTTAAGTGTTATATTTATAAGGTTTCCGCAGTTTATCACCTGGATTAATAAATATAGGTCTCTGATGTGAAACAATTTTTCATGAGGGCAGTTGAGTAATGACATATCTCTCTGTTCTCCCATAAAGTAGACCAAATACCAGCAGCTATAAAATATGATGTAAGAGATGATTTATATATTTCACTCTTACACCTGGAGGTCCACTGTATTTATTGCCCGCACTTTGAAATGCCATGTGATCTATATTTTTCATTGCCCATTTACTGGATCAAAACCCGTAAAGCTGAACGGTAATGGTTCCTTAGTGGCTATTTCTCAGACATTGTGGACATCAAGCCAGCCAACATGGAGGAGCTGACAGAGGTGATCACGTCCGCAGAGTTCCACCCACAGCAGTGCCACACCTTCGCCTACAGCAGCAGCAAAGGCTCCATACGACTGTGCGACATGAGGGAGGCAGCGCTCTGTGACAAGCACTGCAAATGTAAGGACATCATTCACTTACAGTACTGCTGGATTTTGGAAGCTTTGGTGATTTTTTGTTATGTCAATTTAGGACTTTTTTTTTTAGAAATAAAAGTTTCAACAAAAAAACAAAACAAATGTGGACATACACAAACATATACACAACAACATGAACATAAAATCACAAAGAATATGACTTGATAATGTCATTCGTGTCCGCCCACATGTTGATGGAGCCCTCCTCGGACTTGGAGAGATTCAAGTCGTGTTCACAAATGTCACGGCCCATTTTTGGAGAGACAGCAAGTGTTCTAGCCGCCACATGCATGATTTTAAAGATATATCTACTTTTATTAAATAAAATGTATTGAAATATAAAAATTATATTATACTGGACTGGACTTTTCCATTGTAGACTAAATGAAATACACTAAAATTGAATACTAGATGCTTATTTCGCCTGTTTTAGATTTTTTTTTCAGTGATTGTTGTATTTCTGTTTCAGCGATGTAAAACAGGGATAGATAGGTAGATATACTTTATTGATCCCCCGTAGGAGAAATTTGGGTGTCCAGCAGCAGAGGACTCATTCAGGTCTGTACAGTCTGACAGCCGAAGGAACAAAACGTTCCGTTCGGCAGCGCAGTGATAGGAGCCTGTTGCTACAATTACTTCTCTGAGTGGCCATAGTGTCATGCAGAGGGTGTCTGGAGTTTCCCAGGATGCCCTGCATTATAACCCTCACTAATTCATTCATTGATTCAACAACATTATGTATTGTTTGTAAAAGGTTAACTGCGGCCACTAAAATGTCCGTTTCATTTAGATCAGTGTCTCCCAAAGTGGGGTCCGCGGCCCCCTGGTGGGCCGCGAGGGTACTGCAGGGGGGCCGCGGGAGGTCATAAAAAAAATAAAAAAATAATATAATTATTTAATGTTAAATTTATAATGTTTTGTTTGTAATATAAAAATATTTGTGTTCATTATTTGACTTGAATAATCCACTGTAATCATTTTTGTATTACAATGTTTGTATTTTCCCCAAAATAAAATAACCAGAAGAGCCTATTCTTAATGTTGTCTTCTTGGTTATTATTTTGGGGGGCCACGCAGACCCGTCAGATTTTTAAGGGGGCCTCGGTGTTACTGAGTTTGGGAATGGCTGATTTAGATAAATAATGCAGCCCTGTGTCAGTTTAGTGTAAATGCATTGTACCCTCAAAGCTGTGCGCACATATTATCACTGGTATGAGCTCATGGTAGAAACTGTTTCTTTGGCTTGTTTTGTTGATCAAAGATGGCAGGATAAAAGGAAGAAAACATTTGCCTGAGTAGGTTTAGCCTAAACGACATGAAGCTGACTCGACAACGACACACTGCTTTTTCAAATGTAAATGTAGTGTGTGCCTTGAATTGACAGCCTATTTTCTGCTCTTTCTTTTGCCCCGGCTTCTCATACACGCTGTTTCTCCCCCTAAGACAAAGATAATCCATATATCTCTCTTTGTCTTCAACAGGAAGTAGTGTAGTCGTATAATCTCAACATGGCATGCACACCTTTTGACTGAATGATTAATGAAACCGCTGACATTTTCCAGAAGAGAGAAAAATCAATGGTTTAAACACAATCGCATTAGCCCCCCCCCGGACACACCTTTTTGTCCAATATTGTCACTCATTTCCTCTGACGTATTGATGTGTGTGCAGTGGGCCGTGGGCTAAAGTCCTGTCGAATCTCACGTCTCATGCAATGGAAATGATGTTAGAAAGAGCAGGAGGCGGATTGAATGAATGATACAATACATTTAGGTGTCACAATTATTAAGGAGGAAACATTGATTATTGACTGAAATCCTTAAGTTTCCTTCATGTTAACGTCAACTCTGATAGATTGTCATTCAGTGTCATGTGACCAGCCAGATGAAACAGCTCTTTGTATTTGAGAGTGTAAAAATGTCAGAATTTTTATTTAAATGTGAAAAAAAAATATGATTTTTTCAGTGAAAAGGTGAAAAATGTCAGATTGGCATGACAAAATTGGTCAAATTTGTATTATTTTATATGTATTTTTAATATATTTTTTGCGATTACTATTATATTGCACACTGATCGATTAGGATAAATGATTAACTGGATATTTCCCACATCTGTAGTTGAAGTTATGGATGCACCAATCCTGCTTTTTCCAGATCTTATTCTGAATATCAGCAGAACGATTTATTAAGACCAATAATAGCAGTTGTTTTCTTTATAACAAAATGTACTTGTAAAACATAATTCTAAAAAAATATTGATTCTTAGCACAGGATTCCCATTTTGATACAAGACATCATTACACATAGTTCCAGTAGTTTTTCTATAATTTCAAAATTGACTATAACCAGTTAAATATAGTAAACTGCATTCCACTGGCTGGTTGCCATGTTATGCATGATAATCTGGTTGCCAGGAAAAGCGTGACTTATCTCTTTGTAATGATGTCATCCATTCGCCCATCCCTTCTCCATTGTTTGAAGGCGCCAAAGTGGAAACAAAGCTCACTACCATTTTTCATGTGGCAATTATTTCAACATTATAAAGACTCTATGAAATGCTAATAAGCGGTTCGAGATCTGAAATGTGGATTACTTCAAGCGCCAGATCTTTTTTTTCGAGTATAATGAATCAAAAAGACTATTAAAGCTGCATTGTCCTTGTCAGTCTAATATTGAGAACAAAATGGTTGACATAATGACAGTGTGCTGTATAGTGCCCTTGAGTCCTGGCTTTGATCACTATAGTGCTTTTTGCCAGTATTCTTTATCAGATTTACTTGTATATTGTGTATTCTGACTTCACCAAAGCAAAGCAGTATTGGTTTATGCTTTGAAATCGATGACTGACAACTCGTAACACACTTTGACTGGAAGCATTAGACAAAGCCATTTCTTTTCAGTCCACTCAGTAAAAACTCACATTATCAGCATTTTCCCCACTCCCGTTTCTTGTGGATGGAAGGCTAATAATGCATTAAAGCTGGGGTACTTAGCTTTCACACCTTGAAAATTTTACAATCTAATCAAATCCAGCTATCTTTCTGAACAGTTGCATATAATTTGGTCCTTTTTCAGACAGAAAATTGAAAAAGAGAGGAACACTCTTGCTCTGCTCTCAACAAAAGCATCAAATAGTGACTCAAAGGGTCTTTTTCTTACAAGTATGCAAAAGACATGAATATGGTGGCCATGACTGTATGTGAAAGCCACATTCAGTCAGACCTCTGAAGCTAAGCAGGGCAGGACCTGGTTAGTACTTTGATGGGAGACCTCTGGGAACACCAGGTGCCACAGTGGGGCAGCTGTGGCTGTAAAGTGGCAAACTGTTGTTGTGTCCTCAGGCAAGACACTTCACCTAGATTGCCTAGAATGAGTTTGCCGTGTGTGAATGGTTGGTGGTAGTCGGAGTGGAAGGCTGCCTCTCTTCTGTCCGTGTGCCTCAGGGCAGCTGTGGCTACAGTAGTAGTTTAACACCGCTGTGTATGGAATGAAAGAATAATGACATGTGAAGCGACTTTGAGTGTCCTAAAAAGTGCTCTAGTAAAATAATGCATTATTATTATGAAGACAGCATGTTGTGCTCAGGTTTGTTCACAGCAGTGTACTTTTACAGGACTCTATATAGGGGCAAACAAAATATAGATCATTTATGAAAACAAAAGTACTAGCTTTAACAGTTTAAAATACCCTTTACTGGTTAATAAAGTAATACACAGAGCTGTATTTCTGTAGTTGCATTCCTTGACAGGTGTTATCGCGTGTTCCGCAGCTGCAGGTGTCCTCGTTGGCCTCAGGACAGCTCGGCTAATACTGATCTACTGTTTCCCAGCATGAACTCGTACACAGCCCTGAGCTATAGTGCCCTCCCTCCTACGCACTGCGCACCTTTCCATCCTCAAAACCCCAGCTGCCTCCCACTCAACAAACACAACAATTACATCCTCATCGTTAATTGTCTCTCAGACATGAGTCCAGGTTCTACATTTATAGTCTACTATAAAAATATCTAGCAATGAACTAACAATATACTGCTGTTATATTACATACTATATTACATACAGTATATACACTACATACATTACATACTATCCTATACTTTATTATTCACCTGATTTTTCATATATTTCTGCTAAATCTGTTTGTGTGTGGGTTTTTTTTAAATATACAACTTATATATTTGACCTCAGGAATAAGAAAAGAGCTCAATCAGTACAAAAAGAGATTTGAGCAACAAACACAAAAGTCACAAAAGGGAAAGGGGCAATTTTTACACTTTTATTGATGTATTTGCTTTCTAATACTACACCCCCCCCCCCCCCCCCCTCCAAACCCCCACATTCATCTTCAAAGCAACAATTCCCATTTTTCAATATATCTCTCACAACAATGTAGATTTCAAATAGTCCTGTTTCCCATTGTACTCGTAAAATATTCCCATTACCTCCCACCAGTCGGAAAACAATGAGACCACAGTTCTATTGTTATTTGTCAGGAAGTATTGCATAAATCAGTGTTCTTGCTGGGGAATACTGGGATATGTGGATTTGAGGGGATCTCCAAAGCACCGAGCAACAGGGCCGCAGTCTGCACCCCTCTGTCATCTCCCCAGGGGCCCCATTACACTGCCCTGTAAGTGGGACAGGAGGAGGGCATAAATTCATGTGCGCAGACTATTCACTGACACACACAAATCCAGCTGGGTCTCAAATGGGCTCTGGAGTTTGACATTGATTTGTTTTTCTCATCCTGGTCCTCATCCCACTATTTTTCACCTCCCCCTGTGCATCCATTGTTAGGGTCCCTATTGACACATCACAGAGTTATTCACCAGAGCTGGATAGACTGAATAGATGGGTTATTTATTTGTTTATAGCTTTGGCTTGAGAGGTTGCCCTTAGATAAACCTGATTCGAGATTGTATATGCTGTGCTTTTTTCCTATTTCTGGGGATTCTGCCTGTTATATAAAAATATCTAAAGTTAAGGTTTATTCCACAGGGCCTTGAAAAAGCCTTCTGCATCATGAATTGTTCCACAAATCTACTAAACAAAGCTAATAAACTCTCCATTTTGAGTGACAGACCTTAAGCATGTTTTACAGAAATGTGTGGGCAAAAATGTAGTCTCAGGTGTTCAAAGCTGCTAGACATACTGTACCTCAAAATACTTAAAGGGATCCAAAAATAGTGACTCTTGCGGGTTGAATATTTTTTTTGCCACACTTCTCAGTTTTTTCAAGCAGTGAAAATAAGAATATTTTTTCTTTCACTTCATACTCTTTGTGTGTGTCCGTCACATAAAATGCCTAAAAACTATATATATTATATTCATGTCTGTATATAATCTGTGGAAATTTGAGACAAATCAAATGTCTCAAATGGCGGCACGGTGGCTGAGTGGATAGCACTCTCGCCTCTCAGCAAGAAGGTCCTGGGTTCGAATCCCGGTCGGACCAGGGCCTTTCTGAGTGGAGTTTGCATGTTCTCCCTGTGTCTGCGTAGGTTTCCTCCGGGTACTCCGGTTTCCCCTACCACTAAAAATATGTCCAATAGTTCTAGCATGCGCCTCCTGTACTGGCGACCCTGCTCCCATCTCTGTGTGGAGTGATAGACAAATGCCCAAAAATTAACAATTGTAAACCGCTTTGAGACTCAGATCTGCAGTGAAAAGGCGGTATATAAATAAAAACTTACTTACTTACTTACAAATCCATACGGTATGGATACTTTTTCAAGGCAACATAGTTCAGAGATTTCATGACACTTTGAAGCAACTGTGGTTAAAGTTCTAACTCATCAGTCTAACATATGCACAAGCCAGTACTTTTCCACTACTCGTTTTGATTTCTGAAGGCCAAGCTACTGTCACCGTGGCGATAGCTTGGAGGTCCTTTATTCGTGCTGCTTACCATCAACAATAAAACATGTCTTCTGTCTGAATTAAAGACACGATCCCAGACTTTGTCATCTTCTTCAATAGTACTTTGGCCCACACAAACTGGACCTGAATTACGGAGATGTTTCAATAAAAGCTATTTTACTTACAATACATTACTGTATTGTCATGCAAACAAGCAGGTGGTGGATAGTCACACCTGCAATAGAGCCATTTACCTCCATATAAATGCTGATTGTACAGCATTTATATGCTAACACCACATGCTATCATTAGTGTTTTTTTCCACCCGCTAAACTCAATAGATAACATGCATAGCCTTAATATTCAATCAGTTTTTTGGTGATTTTGGGCTTTTCCGACAAATTATCATTATCATTCCATCCCACTAAAGTCCATGTTTGCTGAATAATTGGTAATGCGCCAACAACCAAACAGTCAATGCAATATCTGTGCTGACTCACTGCATGGCGTAGGTTGGCCTAACACCATGGCGTTGAAATAGATCAAACAGAAATATATTTTTTGGGTTTTTTTAAGGAAAGGAGAGTAGGAGGTGGAAGGCAGGGCAGAGGAGCCGCAGTGACTTGACAGCTCACAACAGAATGCCCTGGTGCTCTGGCCTGCACACAAATCAGCGGCTGCCAAAATCAATACGAATCATAACCAATATTTGCCCAGCATGCTGACCCACCCTTCTCTCTCCTAGCACGCTCAGGAATAATCTGGACGAAGGGATGCAGCTGGTTCCACGTCTCCCCCGCAGTCCGCCATTGTTGCTCCTCATATTGTTCGCTAATAATTGTCTCCCACCCAAAACAAATCTTTCCCTACAGCCATGATTACAAACTACCACGTACTGCCAAATCAGTAAATTAACTCATTATCTGCCCATACGATATGCCCGGAATTTAGAGCTACCATTGTGTACTTCAGTGTGTTGAGTTTGGAACAACTTAAAAATGAATGTTTTCGAACCTGATTCCTTTCAAACACTACTTATAAAGAGAACCCTGAGGAAGTATGTGGAGGAGAGAGTGATGTCCTCAACAAGAGTGTAGAGAGGTGTAGGGTCAGAGAGTGTTTGGGCGAGTGAGGGGCTAGAACTATACAACCTCTTACCCAACTGTGTATTTCTGTTTATCTTGTATCCTCTTTGGTGTTTTTTTGAATGTTGGAAGTACTAATGTCTCTGTTTGCGCTTTTCTTCCCATTTGTAGATTTTGAAGAGCCAGAGGATCCTTCAACCCGCTCATTTTTCTCGGAAATCATCTCGTCCATCTCAGACGTGAAGTTCAGCCACAATGGCCGCTACCTGATGACCAGGGACTACCTCACCGTCAAAGTGTGGGACCTGCAGATGGAGAACAAGCCACTGGAGACGTACCAGGTGAACCCACTTCTGTCAAGGAATAGATTATTGAACATTTGAATTCAATACTTTATTTTTATTATTATTTATTTTTTTTACTTGTTTTTAATTATGTACGGTGCAAATTACACCAAAACAGCAATCAGACAGACAGTAAAGGTACAGTTACTAGAATGATATTGTTGTATGGTCCATGTTAGTTTACGAATTGTAAACAAATGGAAAATACTCAATAATAAAACAGTAATCATCCATTTGACAAATAAGTTTGAACTAAAGACTATTTATCTGTAAATATATCAGCTTTCATTTGTATTTGTATACATCCTTTTACCCGCTTTTCCACTCCGTGAATTCAATACTTTATTATTTGGTCTTTTACTTGCTCCAATATGGTTCTATTCTGGAAGAGTCTACTTCTACGGTTTCAATGTTTTTAGTAATGGTACTTATTAGTATTTGTTAAACTCCATCTATAGTCACTCATTTATGAAAGGTTTTCCATCTGGGTATCGACAGTAAGTAAGTAATGATTATTTATGTAGGGCATTTTACAGACCAAGGTCACCCAAAGCGTTTACAATGTTAACAGTTCGGTGATGACGGAGTCGCCGAACACACAGTATTCTATATACTGTGAGTAGCCCTGTTTGAACTTTGCTATACAAATAAGCTGGGATACATAACTTTCAATCCACAACAAATGGAACTACTCTCAAATCAGTTAGGTTCTATTACTCACATGTATGTTTGGCCTCTGTCACCTCTTTACATCAGCTTTGGCATACAGAGAAGGGACTAAGAGAGGACCATTGTCTCTCAGCCAATCAGCTCTCAGCCCAAAGCATCCAATAGTGACTCCCGGGGCTCATTCTGACGTATGACGTATAGATGTAATGTTTTCTAATGAGAGGAAGACAGCAGTATTTTCTTATAAATGTGCTAAAAATGAAGCCCCAAGAAGAATGTGCTTCATGCTTGGAAAATAAATATATAGGGCTGTAACAAATTAACCATTTGATCACAACTAGGTGATTATTGAAATAGAGGTAAACTAATCGATTTCCATCATTGTTTTTTGACACACAGCACAGAGCATGTTGCGTAGTTGTATGACTTCCAACCAGCTGTAAATACTGCTAAATCAAATGAAAAATGCATACATTTTAAAATTCCATATTTACAAGCCTTTTGTGATCCAACAACTAATCAATTAATCAACTGATAGATTGGCCAACTAATAGAATATCAAAATATTTGTTAATTACAGTCCTATATAGGAAAACAGCCATTATTTGAAACCTTCCTTGCGCACTGCGACTCGAGCGGTTATTGCACAGCTCTCAGCCTTCAAAGGTAAATCTCTTCTGCTGCAGATCAATCCGTATTGATTTCTGCTTGATCATTCAACATAATCCCGTTTCCCTGTCTCATGGCCGATCTGTAACTGTGTCATCTTCAGCCATTAGCCCGGGAGAGCTTATCGAGCCGAGCGTCTGTAAGAGAAGATGGATAGGGCAGAGCTGAAGGGCGGGACCTCCCAGTGAGCGGTCACCGGGGGTCACATCCACAGCGTGTGATCGCGGACGCCATCTTGGGGTGGTGCTCATTATTGATAAGTGCGTCAGATGGACTCAAGGGAATCTGTGTCCAATTCCAGAGCTGCTCCACCTGCATCAGTGTCTTAGTGTGGGTCAGCAGGCCACAGGATTACTGAAGTGGAGAAGAGCATATGGACCCGAGGCTTACTCACTTTGTAGGACAGAGAAAGGCAACCAATACTGACTGCACTATACAACTGTATTATTTTATATTCATGTATCTTAGTACATTTTTATTTTTGTATGCATTTTGATCTGTTTTTATTTTTCTCTTTTGAAGCACTTTGAATTGTCCTGTACATGAAATATAATTGCAAATAACATATACAATAACGTATAATATACAAATAAATGTTTATTAATTAATTGATTGATATTGAAGCAGCTCAAGGCATCTTTTAGAGCTGCTTAATTCTGGAGACACATCTAGTTACAATGTACAATACCCTTTATGTTTAAAAAGTAATTTCAAAGTAAAAAGAGCAACTTTTTGTTGTGAAATTGTGATTTTGATGCATTTGCGATTAACCGTATCAAAATCAACCGTGGAGCTTGAGAATCTTTATTAACAAAAATTCTCTTTAGGTGGCCATGTTTTTATTATTTGTTTACATATATTTCTTTCTACTTTTACATTTGAACTCAAGTTGGTTCTTAAATGTGTCCTCATGTTACCCAGTGTACCGTCCCCACAGTTGTGTGCCTCGAAAACAATATAATGTTGTCCTTTTCATTTTAGGTGCACGACTATCTGCGAGGAAAACTGTGCTCACTTTACGAAAACGACTGCATCTTTGACAAATTTGAGTGCGTCTGGAACGGATCTGACAGGTGAGAAGAAGAAAACATGTAGATCATATTCAATGTTGGGCTTTTGGCTTTCATTCCCCTCAGTTGGCTTCTCTCAATGTGGAGGAGTAGTGGCTCTATCCCAAGCTTCTCCAATGCAACGCTGACACCCTTAACAGCAATTCTCCCCCAACCACTCTACAGAGGAAACTCATTGGTTTTTTTTTTCATTTTCATTTCATTTTCAAGCCCTTTATTGTCCATTTCTGGGTCAGGGGGGTGGCAATGAGAGCTGCCACCCAATGCTCATAGCACCAGTCCCTCGCTGATCCTCTGCAGGTGGTGAGTCCACAGGAAGATGGCTGCTCTGTCAGTGGTGAAACAGCTTTGGTCTTTCAGCGGGGGCTTCAGGCAACGTGGGGTTAAGTGTCTTGCCCAAGGACACAACAACAGTAGAGATAAGTGGGAGCAGTTGGAGTAGGTCCCATGGTGGGAATCGAACTCACGACCTCCAGGCTCAAAGGCCACTGCTCTACCAACAATCTACTGGAAGTCATTGTGTTCAATTAAATTCAACGCGTTTTTGTATAGCCTTAAATCAAACACAGGAAAAACAATGATAGAAAAACATGTAGAGCCATTGGTCCATAAGGGGCAGATGTTAATAAATATTATTAAATGTCCGTAAATGTCTTTAAATGTCCTTAAATGTCCTTAAATGTCCTGGATCATCACCACTGTCTTCTTCTTTCAATCGTTACCACATCAGTGAATTATATGCATGTGATTATTGTGTATTTTTTATTACACAATATACAATATAATATACACTTTTTTATGTTTCTATTATATTATTATTATTATTTTTTTTTTGCATATTTTTTTCTTTTTGCATTCATTATGGTCTATTTTCATATCAACATGACGTTGATGAAATGGAAAAAGAAGGAATGATTGGCACTCTCGCTTCTCAGCAAGAAGCTCCTGGTCTTTCTGAGCGGATTTTCTCCTGTGGACTCACCACCTGCAGGAGGATCAGTGAGGGGCTGGTGCTCTGGGGCAGCTCTGACTGTCACCCCCCGACCCAGAAATGGACTAAGGGGAAGAAGATAGATGGATGGATGACATTGATGAGCACATAGACGAATATCTACTGTATGTTTCAGTAGCTAATGGGGATATCAACAAACAAAACAAATCTAAAGCTCATGACCGTATAAAATCCCCAACTAAGCACTTTTATCTTGATTGATTGATTGATTGTACTTTATTTTGCTCTATCTTTTGTGTACAGTGTTATAATGACTGGCTCATACAACAACTTTTTCCGGATGTTTGACCGGAACACGAAGCGAGACGTCACCTTGGAAGCATCGAGAGAAAACAGCAAACCCAGAGCTATCCTCAAGCCTCGCAAGGTACGCAAGCTGTGACACACTTTTACACCCAGGTCATTGTAACACTTACACATTGCTCCATCCGAATTTTGAGTTGTGATTTACAACTCGTGTGTGACTTGGGATTTACTTGTAACGTAAAATGGAACTTGTACCCAAAAAAAGGGATTATTTGGTTCATTATGATTATTCTATATATCAAAATATAAATGTGTTATACCCATAAAAGCTGGGGTACCTACATTACCTTACCTAAAATACACACTTGACTATCAAATTAAGTTTGTTCATTACTTTTTGCATTTTTAGGCTCTTGAATATAAGCCACAGGTTGTCATGTTTTAATGAAAGGCAAGGAAGGGCGAGTATATTTGTTTGCACAGTTCATACACAGGCAACTCAAAGTGCTTAACAAAGTGTTATAACTTTTGACTTGTTTTGAACAAAAACGAGAAACTCTGAGGAAGCAAACTCATGTTAGCATGTTTAGCTTAACTGCTAGCTTCCATGTCAGGACTTTTTTACCAGTCAATTTTGATAATAACCATGCATCCTGTAACTACTAAAACTTGATGGAGCCATGATAATAGGTCCATAAACTCTGAAACTCTGCAACAATAAAATGACATACATTGGCACCATTGCTATAATGGCCGCTGGGTCAAGTCCAGCAATTAGCATAATCAACTCCATCTTACTACAGTGGTTCCTTTCTCTCATGAGATGAACTGAAGTTTGGTTCCATTCTATTGACATATTCTATTCTTTTTTTCATCTCTGTCACATCTTTATCATCTTTCTTAGACAGTAAAGTTGTATGAAAGAACCAAACTTGCTCAGCCCAATGAGTCAAAAAGTGCCTCACAGGGCTCTTTCTCACAAGTATGCAAAAAACTTGCTAAAGAAAACATGTTTTCTAATAAAATGAAGCATGTTGTGGTTTGGTTTGTTCCTAACATTTCACTTTTACATGACTCCATTGAGTCAAACAAAATGCATTTTTTGTGAAAAAATCTGATTCCCCATCATTAAGTGAATGTTGGTGTCCGAAAGACTTTTTTACTCTGATTTATCCAAAACCAATTTATATTGACTCTGGAATTGCTCACTGTTTGATGATGAGATGACAGTATTGGGGTAGATGGACTTTCGTCTGACAGACTTTCTCCTCTTCCAGGTGTGCGTAGGTGGGAAGCGGCGTAAGGATGAGATCAGCGTGGACAGCTTAGACTTCAGTAAAAAGATCCTTCACACGACGTGGCACCCGCACGAGAACATCATCGCTGTAGCGGCTACGAACAACCTCTACATTTTTCAAGACAAGGTCAATTAAAAAGCCAAACCGCCCACACCAGCCCCTGGGACAGACGGCGGAAACCACATTTTTGAAATAACATGGAGAGCTGGAGTGTAAATGGTCAAACCCTCTGCCTTTCCTGACGGCACAGTTAGGTTTGCCACTCGACAAAGGACTGATTCAGCCTGGATATATTTTTGGGGATTTCCTCCAAAGAAAATGGACTGTGAATTTTAATTTATTTAACCATGCAGACATAAAGAAGGAGGCTTGCCGCATGAATAATGTGTGATGTAGAAGCCACTTGGACCCTGATTCTAAATGGGCGGATGTGGGAATACAGCACAGAGACAGCGTACATGACTGGATGTTTGTCATGTAGCAAAAGCGCCCCCTACCTGTCAGTTTGCCCATCTGCACGCCCAGTGTGCAGGACAGCACAATGATTCCCTGCTTCAAAAATGAGAAAGGAGACTGTTAATATTTTGAATTGTCTGGGATTGGCAATCTTTAGTATATCGTGTGTCCCTATGATGTAATGAAAGAAGCCAGTCATGGCTGTTTTAATTTTTCAATTCTGTCGTTTTTAATTTCATGAAGAAGCTGTGGTGCCTTCTTTTGGTATGTTGGGGTTAACTGTCGATGCTGTTGGGGAAGGGAGGGAGGGATTGAGGGAGTGGGAATGTTTCAAATTGGCAACGTTCACAACGCTTATTTTTGTTAACATTGAAATAGAAAAAAAACCAGAATTCTCTTCTGGAGAGGCACAGTGCTCGGAGGACACAGCAGCCCGTTTGATGTCAATATCATACACTAAGTTAAGTAGTTCTAACCCTTATTTGCATAGTGCTAATTATTACTTGGTAGATGACAATTTACATTAACTTCTGTCAGGAGAATAGCTCTTTCGCATGCATTGGATCAAAATTACTGTTTTCAATACAAACAAAGCACTATGCAAGTAAAGTGCAGCTCTGTGCAGAGCTTTCAGGTACCTCGGTATGAATTATGTTTCTAAGGATACAAAACATTTGGTAAAACAAATATTGGTATTAGAAGGACCAGACCAAACCAGTATATTATAAATACACCTTGGACATAAACCTGCCTATAGCCTTTGCACAGAGCTGTGTATTGTCCGCTGGTTTTCATCATTAAGCCAGTTTCAAATGCTGTGGTGCCTGTTCACATTTCTACTGTATTTTCATGTCTAATGTCGCACAGTAGCAGGTTCAAGTTGACGTTTAGCATTGGGAGTCTCCATTTAATTTTGTGTCATTACTCCCATATAACAAAAAGGCGACAAAGGTCTAAACAAACTCTGTGAAATCAGGGAAGTGTTTTGTGTAATTCCTCTCACAAGGTAATGTCTTATTCTTAACAACCTTCTTTGTGACTCTTCTAATTGAAACTTTTATAGCTGAGAATGTATTGAGATGCAAAATGGCTTACCATGCAGTCTTTACTGGACTTTCTTTGTATAAAAAATAATAAAGATGTGCAAGTTCAACTCTTTGTCAGTCTTTGTATTATCCTGTTGGAGCCTGATCACAAGAGTTTGGGTCAAGGGCGCCCTCATGTGGAGAGAGGCCGTAATTTTAAAGTGATTGTCATCTACTGGACACAGTTGGGGGCTGATTGAGAATTGCGCTTGAGAGGCTTTCATGATCGCAAATGGTACCAACAGTGTTATGACATGTTAGGTTATATTATTTTCCGTCTCTACACTTAGAGGCTTTGTAATACACATGTATAACCTCTTAAAACATATTAACACATTAATTGACAGCTTGTAATGGTACTACCTCATGAAACAAAATAAGAAGGAAAATCCTTTCATCAGAAATGGTTGTGAAAGCATTAACTTCTGAGGCATCTGTAAAATGAGACATCGGACTTATGCTGTCTTTGTTTCCCTACCCGTTTTATCGCTTGTAAGATCATTATTGTTGGTCATTTGTCTACAATCTTCCACAGTATTTAATAAAACAAGGCTTTCAGAAAGTTTGAACAGAAACATACAATGATGTGCACAATCTGTAGATTCTTGTAGGAACATTTTGTGCAGTTTTTAGCTTGCTAAATCTCACATAAATGTTTACATGAGGAGGTTTTTAGATTTTTCCCACAACTCATAAATCCACAACAGTTCATTAATTTACAAGACAAATCCGTGGTACATCAACATAAGCAGTGTCTTTAAGTCCTACACTGCACGATATCTTTGAAACAAACCCAAAAAAAAGAGCCTCGAGGCTTGTTTCTGTATGATTCTTAATTGCTTACTCCATTTGCATTACAGATCCATATACAGCAGTCTTTACTGGGAACGTTATGCTTTCTAATTGGCTCCCTCGAGACTGTAGTTGACGCTCTGTTTGTCAGCTGGAGACATGAGCTGTCAATCACTCTTCGTCTTTATAAGGAGCGACCTTCATCCCTGTAAACCACTGTCTCCAGGACAGCCACAGGAACACCTCACTGCTTGGATGAAGACATTTTTCACATCGGACGATCTGCAACAATAACTATATTCAACCGATACATTTGAAGATATGGAACCGGCTTTTGACTTCAACTCATCGGCCAACACCTCTATTGACAGGTGGTCCATCAATGGGCGCCTCAACCCAGAGGAGCTGCGTGTTTTTGTCCCGTCTGTTCTTGGTGTCATCTGCGCTTTAGGGGTGGCTTGCAACCTCACTGCGATGTGCATCCTACTGACCAACTCTCACAAGGGCAAACTCTCTCTCATCAACTCCCTCGTCTTCAACATGATGTTTGCAGACGGGCTAGTTCTGCTCTTCTCTGTCCCGTTCAAAGCCGTGTCCTTCTCCAAAGCAAGCTGGACTCTTGGCTGGATGGTGTGCAAAACATCTGACTGGTTCCTCCACACTTGCATGGCGGCAAAGAGCTTCACCGTTGCCCTCATGGCCAAAGCGTGCTACCGCTACGTGGCCAACCCCACCAAGCAAGTCAGCCTTCGTCTGGGTTCTATTATTGTGGTGCTTTTCTTCATCTGGCTATCCTCCTGTTGCATCACCATCCCACACTGGCTTTTTACATTTCTCAAAAATGGAATTCAAGGTTTAAAATGTGTCTTCATTGTCCCGCCAGAAGCCAGAGATTTCATGTCGGTCTATGTCAAAGCATACCCTCTAGCTGTCTACTGTGCACCCCTGAGTTTTGCCTTGGTGTACTTTTGGAAAGCCTACGGACAATGCCAACGTCGGTCAAGCAAAACTCAAAATCTTCGAACCCAGATCAGGTCACGGAAACTGACATTGATGCTTTTCTGTCTGACAGTTGCAATGGCGATGTTATGGCTTCCCCAATGGGTGGTGTGGGTATGGGAAAAACATCTTGCAGAGAAGAAAATAGAAAATCACTCCTTCCCATCACCGCCTCTGCTCCTGACCATCACAGCTCAACTTCTCACCTTCTCCATGTCTCTGGTCAATCCGCTCATTGTGCTGTCCTTATCTGAAGAGTTTCGAGAGGGCTACAAGGGTCTGTGGAGATGCCTCACGCTAAGAAAGCAGCCACCGCCAAAAGCCAAACCAGGACCACACAACCCCACCTCTTTGAGATCTCCAAGTCCAAGACCGCAGGTGTCCGTTCAGTCGACGCAAGAGAGCAGTCTGATCCAAAGTGCTTCTCAAGATCAGCTGCAGTGCGACGAGAAAAAGGGCAAAGATGACGAGGGGATAGTGCTGCCTGATGTGGAGCAGTTCTGGCACGAGAGAGAAGGCGGCTCTCAGGACGCAGAGAACGATCCGGTGCCGTGGGAGAACCAAGACAAGAATTGATTTTGAAGTAATATCTTTGGACTGTTATGATAACTTGATAACTGTATCGCAGGTGTTACAAGAGTGATTTTGTGGATTTAATGTAGGTGCATTGTTCAAAAAGAAATGCTTTTTCACTGTAACCTTTTTATTATTGTGGAAATGAAACTGTAGTTTATCAAAGGTATGTTCATGTTCAAGCTTTTTCACCTTTTGAAACACATTTACAGGACTGGGGAACCAAGTAAAATGTTACCTGTTCTAATTTGCGTGCATTTGTAAATCTGTACATATGGCTTGTTGTGAAGGGCAGTGGCACGTTTCTGACTTGTGTCTTGGAATTGTGGTGAAATGTGTTCAAAAAGCATTTTGTAAATGGGTTTGTTATGTATGACTTGCATATATTTGATCATTCTTTGCAATGATCTACTGTAAATATGTCATCGGTGCTTTGCAGTGGCAAATATTTTCAATAAAGGTTGCTGATAACACCTGGGGTTTGAGTAAGATTTTTCATAGGAGTAAAGTACAAGACTTGTTCCCCATTAGAGTTAAAAATCAATAGTTCAGTACCTCCCGTCATAATGAGCTGAGTGTATAGACCCCTTTCTGAGACAAAGTGTACCATAAGAATATCAATAACATTTTGTTAGCAAGTCACGTATGTTAATTACACAATCATTCAGAGCATGCTTCGCTCCATGTAACAGACTCCACTTCTGTGTAAACACTGGAGATAAGTGATCAACATGGCCGCTTCCACCAGCCCATAAATGCATATGTTATAAGGCCACTTCTAACCGTGTTTTATGTCCACCTTGAGCAAGATATAATGAGATTAAGAAAATAAACAGTGCGCAGCTACAGTCTCCTGCAGTCGCCCCCACGCCCCCCTCCCATGTGACATTTACTTCTCATTAATATTTTATGGCAACCTTTTACAGCCAGGGCCAAGTGCCTCAATCAGCTGCACTTAACAATGAGCCAACTCCAGCCTCTGGGGAAGTGACCAGTAAGAAACACAATCATTTTGGTCATAAAACATGTTCTCACCTTTGCTCCTAAAAATATATTTGCTCATGAAGGAAATGGTATGGAAATTCCTTAAAGAAGATCTTATATCAGTTTACAATAATAATACTGTTCTGGATAGAATGTGCATGTTTGTTGGAGAAACTGTGAGTAGTATGTAACGTTCTGGTGCATCACCTGAATGATTCTGTGGAAATTAAAATCATTTGGAACATTCAGAGCTTTAAGAAGAAACAACTTAACAAAGTAACTTGGTGGTAGTAGAAAGGAGAGCACTCAGAGAAAACCTACACAGACACAGGCAGAACATGCAAACTGTCGAATACTGTATATTTTCATACCAGGATCCTTTTGAGATTTTGACTTGTTACAACAAACCAAAAAATATTTATTTATGCAGAAACATCTGACATGAAAGGTTATATTTTATTCTTTAAAAATGAAATAATAAAAGGGATAATTGTATTGAAACATTTGCTGCAGTTACAGCTTCAGATCCTTTATGGCCCTTGGGAGCATCAACTGAAATGTTCTTATTTGCAAAACAATTGTTTTTGGATCTGGACTTGAACTTGGACATTCCATTATAAAAAATGTGCTTCATATTCAGGGACATTTGCCTGATGGGATGTGTACCTCCACTAAACTTCGAGTTTTTTGCTTCCTCCAACAACTGTTTTGCATATGCCTCATTGTGCCTGCTGAAGAAAAGCAGCCCCACCACTAGATGTGACAGAGAAAAAGCTGTCAGTAAAGTGATGTGAAACCCATATCCCATCAGACCTAAAGTTAAGCAGGCCTGGATATTTCTGTGATGGGAGACCTCTGGGAACACCACACAGCTGTGGCTGTAATTAAGAGCCAAACTGTCATTTGGGAAGACGCTTTACACACATTGCCAAGAAAGAGTCCCATGGCAGCTGTGGCTACAGAAGTAGTTTATCACCATCGTGTATGGAGGGAATGAATAATGACATGTGACGCGTCTTTGAGTGTCCAAAAAAATGCTCTATATAACTGATGCATTTCAATCTGGAGAGACTCATGAGACAAAATGCAATTTGAAGTATTTTATTAAAGAATGTTTGGCACCCTAGGCCCCGGTGCGACACTGTTAAGCGCGGCTCGAAGAAGGGCAAGAAGGAGGAGGAGGGGAGGCGGTGGATGCGAGGTGGGTGTCTCCCTCTTTTAAGTTGCTGGCCTGGCTGGCATACGTTGACGGGAGATGGGCGTATGCTGTGCGATAGGACAAGGAGGAGATGGGCAGCAGCAGTTCAGTCTTCCAGAATTTAATTTCCGCTGGCTGCATTTGTTTCCACCACAGTCTTTGGTCATCTGACCATAGAATTAGATGTATGACCCACTTTGCTTCTTGGGAATTTTTCTCCCCGACACTGGCTTTCTCTTTTCCACTCTTACAAGGGCAGATTTGTGTGACTAATAAGGGCCTCTTGACAGAATCAGCGCTGGCCTTAATTGTGTATAATTTAGCTTTCGTTTCAAGGTCTGTCTGACCTTGTATTTGTCTTTCACACCTAAAAAAATCCTATAAAATATCTTTAAGATTGTGTTTGGAACGAAACAAGATGCGGAGGATTATGATTAGTAACAGTACTAACATAATCATCTAACCCTAAGTTTCCAATTGAAATGAACTGATGAGAGAACAGCTGTCGACCTATAAAATCACAGTCCGAGGTTTGTGATATGTCACTGTCCAACACTGCCCCCGCTGTAAAGAGACACGTTTAGAAAGCTGAGGGCATGTCATGGCACTCTCACAATTGGGAGTGAAAACAGCACTGGTTTAATGAGGTCATTACGCACGCCAGGGCTCGGGCTCTGCAGGTGAGCGCGTCTCTTTACTGGTGTCGCGGCTCTGTGCACGTCCTGCTGCGTGTCACCTCTGTGTTTTTATCTCGAGCCAATCATCATGTCTAATAAATGAAACTCCACAGGAAGCTCATGGCAGCTATCACTAATTATACTCAGCGTGGGACTGACTGCAATTAAACCCGCATGCAAAAGGAAAAACCTTTGGCAGCAGCTAACACCACGTCTCCCCAAGAGGCACAATTACATAAATGGAAGATCACCCAGCTCGTGGTCCATGGATACTCGACCTGGGAGCGCTGAAAGGCTGGTTCGGGGGGCTTGGCCTGGTATTTAGAGCCTTTGATTTTTAGGCAATAATAAATCTCTGATGCTTTCATCTCAGGGTAGGATGAAGTGGTGCAAAGGGCACAGACCCTACAGCAGCCACTTTTATATTAATAGGGGATTTTCTATGGGATAAAAACAACTCGATTCATTGAAGTTAAGGTTCCACTGGGCTGTTTTCAATGATTAATGTATAGCTATCAATAATAACAATCAAGCAAGGTGACAACCACACTATAGGGTACATAATAGTTCCAACTCTCCATTTCTAATAGTAAATATCTATCTTTCTTTATGGTTACATGTTCTTGAAAGGGCTGAGGGCTTATTATTGCACATTATGTTTGCACTTAAAAACTTGCTTCCCTCTTGTGCATACTTTTTTTCTCTTGGTACTTTTTCTTCTAAAATGAGGCACTTTAACCACCACTGATGTCCCAAAGGCTGTCTGTGCACCTGTGAACACACTGAGAAAAGTTTAATTTACAGCATTTTTATTTCATTAATTTGATAATATTAGCAGACACAGTGTTGCACAGTGCCCAGGTTTGCATAGGTTTACAAAATAAAATAAAGTTACCAAAACTTTAAATGGCATTCATAAAGAAGACAGTTGTAGGCAGTTGTTCTGAGTACCAAAACAGAGTAGCCTGACCGGCAAAAAAAGGATTCAGTGCAACCGAAGTCTGATCCTGATTTATGAGCTGACATTAGATGGGAATTCCGGATGTAACCCATAGATTGGTCCAATGCAGGAGAATAGAGCTACCGTACCTCACCGAAGCAATATCTACCTACAGCCTACTTACAATCACTGAAAAATAGGCAAAACGTAAGAACATTACATCACGAATCTCTGTTCAAGACAAAGTGCATGTACAATAAAATAAAAACTAAATATAAAAAAGTCCCTTAAGTTCCCTGCTTATTCCCCCACCATTTCAAGGCTTGAATCTCATCAACCTACTTACAGCATGCAGTCGGGGTCTTCACTGATGGCACTACGCCCAGTTTAAGACCCATTATTTTTCTCACAAAGGAAGTGCTAGCACCTCCTTAATTGCATTTTTTTCTTAATATAAGATACAGTAAATCCTTTTTTACTGATGCTCTATCCAAGGGCACCATAGTTCACTGTAAACATTCTTTTTTGTGGATACATAGGCCCAGGACAATCTCGATGGCTCACGGGAGAAATGTCACATGTTTTGAAATAAAAGTGAATGGTACAGCATAGATCTTATACAAACAAATGCACTAAAATTGTGGTTAATTCTCCCATTCAATAAAAAAGCAGTTCAGACAGGGAATCTACTGAATACTTCACATTTACAATGCCACATTTACTTGGCCACGTAGAAAGGTTTGAGGCAGTGCATTTTTTGATGTTATCTTGAGTGCATTCCTGAGGTCTTGGTTTAACTCCTAAACAAACACAAATACATACACATTTATCCAACAAATAATTCATATAAAAATAAAAACACAAATGCTATTGTACTTAATTCACATTACTCAGTGAACAGTAGAAAAAACAATATCATAATTTGTTCACCTTGATGTCTTCTTCTGTCCAGCAGAGGGAGCCAAAGCGGTTTTCTTCTTCAGCAGAGCTTCACTTGTAATTTGGACTTTAAAAACTTTAGGTTGATCCTAAAAGAGTGAAAAAAAAAAAACAACGCAAAAACATTACATTCAATAAACAAAAGTCATGCTGAAATTGAATGATGAGCTACTTCTTTGAATTTGGTCAGTGGCAAATAAAGTAACTATCTATCTATCTATGTATCTACGTATCTATGTATCTATCTATGTATCTATTTATCTATCTATGTATCGATCTATGTATCTATCTATCTACAGTATCTATGCTTTGAATTCTTTCTCTTAATCATTAAAAAGCAAACTCGCAGCAAAGCAATTTTAAAGAAGCAATACCTAAGATTTGGATGCCAAGTCAATGAATGGCCCTAATATGTCAAAAGGCATTAATAAACCATGCTCTTTTCAAATTTTACATATTGCTACTTAAAGAACAGTGGATCTTTGGTAAAGGCATTAAAAGTAGTGGATGCGATGGGAGTATTGACAATTACAGTAGTCATTGATTGGAAAAAACAGATGCATTCTTACTGCAGTGGACTTGTTGCTGGGAGTCACAGGGCAGGGAGGTGGAGGTCTGTTCGGGGGGTCTGGTCTGGATTTTGTCCCTGAAAGAGCAGCTGGTTTGGGGTTTGGGTGAAGTGAAGGAGGTGGACCTGGAGGAGGCTGCGGAGCTGGAGTTTTCTTTGGGGCAGATTTAACAGAAGGGTTTCCTGTTGCCAGACTCAAAGATGTGGGTTTATCCGTCGCATACGCAGGGACAGGAGGGGGCTTCCCCGCGGGCCGCACGATCGCGTGTCTGGATCGAGGAGATGACTTTTCCTGGAATAAAAAGAGTCAAATTCTTCATCTATATTCAGTTATAATGTCTTTATCTGAGTCACTCCCTTACCAACTGAGCATTGTCCTGTTTCTTCAGCAGGAACGTTGGATTGGAGTGGCCGTTAACTTTGTTGCTGTCGGTCAGCGGTTTGACTTCAACAGGGACTGAGCAGCTAATCAAAAATCACAGTTTATTTTAAATCCAATAATTCATAATGTTTGTTGAAACAGAAAAAAAGTCTTCAGTCCACAACATACTGTCTTAATCGTGTTAGAATTGTTTTTATCTTTTGCACTTGTAAGTAAGAGCTTGAAAGGCCAATATTATGTGTTTCACGCTGAGAGCTGGTTGTTACTTTCTTTTCTTTCTGAGAAGGTATTCTAAAGATATGAAAGAAGCCAAAACTACATGTATGTGGAAACTAGAGATAGAGCCATAACCTTTAGAGCCAGGACAAGTAAGATGGATTTCTGTAGTTTGATACAAAACTTTAGGTATTGTTCTATGATTGCAGGATGTGTTTGATCTCGTTTGAAAAGGTTTGTATTGTACCTCGGCACTGGAGGAGGAGTGGAGGCCTTCATTGGCCGGAGCTTATGCCTGTAGCAGCACCACAGTCCGATGGCCGCCACCACAACAAAGAGCACCAATGGGAGGATCACCACGACTAGCAAGAGGTTATCTATTGGTGCAGATCAAATCACATTACAATTACCGCACAAATGAAATATATATCACGATGATTAAAGGCAGTTATGATACAGACTGTTGCTGATGACTGGTCCGCTGTCCACACTCCCTCCTGAGCCTCTCTGATCGCACAGTGGAGGAGCCCAGCCCGGGTCACAGTGACAGTTGTGGTTATTGTTGCACAACTAGATTTAAACATAACACAGTCACAATCTTTCTGGACTTTATTCATCTTCTCCTCTAAATAATCGTGGTGCCTTTTACCATTCAGTGGGGGCAGTGTTGCAGTAATCTGATAAAATTACTGCTTAGTATTATTGGTTATTGTTTTATTGCATTTACATGTTCAAATATTAATGTTAACTATTTCTAACTTTAGTCTTCCAATGATTAATTTGAAATTGTTTTATTTTGTATTTGTAACAATAATTGAAGTAATTTTGAGCCATCTCAGAGGCAACCCACTTCTTCAGTGAGTTGTGCATATAGGAAGTTACCCCATGTCCGTGGCACTTGGCATTGCACTCAGCAGTTCTGAGAAATGATGCATTGCGGCACACTCCATTAAAGCAAATCTGTTAAATGAAAAATAAATGTTTATAGAGGAGATAGATTTAGATGGATGTGATGTCTTTGGTACAATAACATGATTTATAACATGAATACCGAGTCTTCTCCACATTTGGTGCCTGTCATGACCAGCCCAGGGTCCAGAGTGTCCCCCTGAGGGTCCTCGTCCCCCTGGGTAAACTTGTATACATGGGTCCCCATACACAGGACCTTCTTAGTCCCCAGAGTGACTGTGGTCTCTATACGCACAGCACTGGTCTCCAGTGGCTTAGTGGCTGAAGAGAGGCACTGAATCTTCCCACATTTAGCATCTCTAGAAGAGAAAGCAGTTTAGCTAAATGTGAGTTCAAACCTGATAATCCCTTTCTCCTTGAATGAAAGTATTTTGGCAAAACGTTGTTTACCTTTCTCTGCACTTCTTGTACTCCCCATCCAGATCTTTGCCACAGTTTCCGTACATGTCCCCGGCTTCATTCACCTTCTGAAAACACAGGTCTGGAGCAGGACGGCCATCTGTCAAAGACAAAATGGTGCCATATCCGGAGATAAGGGTTTGATTTATGGCTCAAATTCACATAGTAGTCACCTAACAGAGGCCAGATGGTACAGCTCTGTCTGAGCGGCTCTTGTGCCCCTCCGGGGAGGCACTGTCCCACTCTGATCACAAGCACCAGCACTCACAGTGATGGTGCTTCATCTGACACAGGCTCATATTGAAGGAAATACATCCAACATTTATCACAGAACACACTTATCAGGAAACACAGAACACATTATGCACGTAACATTAATTATAATAATATTAATAAAAACAATTCTAATGATTTCATGAAAATAATAACTTAAAACATGAAATGGATGTTTAACAGTCAGAAAAAAATCTGTTTTGATAGAATATGTGTGTTATTTATGTATTGATTTGAATAATAAATAAATGTTTATGTTTTCATTATTATATATTTTTTCCTCTCTTTGGTCTGTGCACAGTTTTCTCTAGTGAAGACTTCTGTCTGAGTCATGGCCTGGGTTTAGTTCCAGCTTCAGTTTCCCTGTAGTTACAGTATTAAACATGTTCCAAATATGGGGTCGAGAACTATACTTTATTATCTAATATGGCAACTGACAGAGAAAATATACAAACTCTGAAAATGAAAGTGGTAAGATTACAAGGTTAGCAAAAACATGGACGTTTTTTCCACAAAATCAATACTTTATAGATTTCTTCATCTGATCCAAAGACGACATCTACATCTGTGCTGTAACTCACACCAGCCTGGATCAATATTCACTCACACACACATGCACACACACACAGCCACACACACACACATGCACACACGCACATGCACACACGCACATGCACACACGCACACACACATGCATACACCACACACACACACATGCACGCACACACACACACACACACATGCACACACACGCACACACACACACACACACATGCATACACCACACACACACATGCACACACGCACACACACATGCACACATACACGCACTCACACACACACACACGCACACACACACAGCCACACACATACACACACCAACACACAGTCTCGATTTCAACGCGGATGATACCTTGTCATTCCATCAAATGATATTAAAGCCTACTTCAGTGTGTTGGTTTGAATATTTACATAATTGTAAATGCAATGTATGTTTGAAAGATTATATTGGACTGCAAACAAACACAATGTTTGCCTCTCTTCCAAACAGCGGTTTAAAGTATAATAATAGTATAATATAGTATAAAGTATAATCTTATGACACACACTCACCTTTTCCCCACAGAGAGCGACACTGCTGCTCCAGCGTGAGGCACATGCCGGTGTAACAGGTGGCCCGCCCCCCCGAGCATGAGGCTCCATCCACCAGGTAGAAGTTAGCGGGACAGGATTCAGCCTTCCCGTCGCAATACTCCGGGAGATCGCATTGTCCAGAGGGGGCGCGGCACAACACGCCCGGGCTCTTCAGCTTCAGCAGAGAAAGTGCAGAGATGAAGCTAAATGAAGCATGTGTTTGACTGAGATACAGACACAAGTGGACAACACCTGTCCTGTTCTTAGGTGTACGCCTCTATGCCTGTGGGTCAATGTAACAACAACGCTGAATCATAGGGAACATTTGCTAATTGGGAAATCACTCATTGAGCACAAACCTCCACTACTAGGCAGAGTTCCATTCCTTAAAATAAAATCTTGGATCCAGAGAGTGATCTGGATAATCTCTGAAATCTAATAATTTGCTTCTTGCCCCATTTCTGAAGTTTCCTACACTATTTTGCCTATCTTACATATATTTTGAACACTAATACTTGTTTTAAAATTGGTAAACTAATATTATATGAATATAAATAGAGCCTTTCTGATTGGAAGAAACAAAAATAATCCGATTAGTTGGTCAAATCCATATAAATCTACTAACTATACTTACTGTAATACATACATAACACACTTTCAACAATTCAGGCCTTTGTGCTTCTTTCAGGGCCTACCTTGCAGTTGTCGCAGCAGACACCATGGGCACATTCAGCTCCAGCTTTCAGGGTACAGTTGTTGGCATTGCAGCAGGGACTTGTGCATTCCTACATTAATGACAATAAACCAATAACAATTCATATTTTCCTACATTAGCTGTAAGATAACTCTAGCCATAATGTGTGTCTGACCTCCTCCTCCCCACAGTCGCACTCCTCCCCTTCCTCTAGGTAGCCATTCCCGCAGCGCTGCCCTCCGTACATGGCTCTGGTGTTGGGCAGGTTAAAAAGACACTTCCCACCTCCAGAGTTCAGGTAGTTTTTCAGCTCTTTCATGTTACAGGCGTTGAATACTTTTGGGAAAGGATGCCTGGGGTCACAGAGATAGGCACATTTGTCTACTATTCCCGCTTGTTGTCCGTCTTCGAGATGAATAGCGCTGGTATTTTTAACTCACCCAGTGGCAGCGGCCATGATGCATCCCCCGTCCTCCGCTTTGGCCTGGCAGCACCCGGGGACGTCATGACTCATCCCAAAGTTGTGTCCCATCTCATGAGCCATTGTGGCGGCAACACCAACAGCTGACTCTGAGTGGTCCTGTTGAATGCAAAAGATTGATATTCATAATTTAGCAGCATTCAAACCCCACATTCTGTTAGCCTTGACTTTTCAACAACAACAACAACAACAATAACAACCAAAAAACTCATTAAGGTCATTTTACTATATGGAAACTTCACAGTATGGTGTTGCCCATGATGAAATATTATTTGCTCTTCTCCAACTTATATGGACAGATTTCAATTCAATTCAATGTCAATTCGTATCGCCCTAAATCACAACAGCCGTTATCTCAGACGACTTTACCAAGTTGTCGATTTGCCAACACAGATCAGAGAATCAAACAGTTCAAACACAGGAAATGCAAAGGCAGTGCCACAGTTTTTTCAACAAACTTGTGTGAAACAGAAACCGGTATAGCATGTAAACTTTATGAGAGATAGAGGACTATTGATATCAGTAACAGAAAGGGCAGGTCGCTGTAAAGAAAGGCGCCTACATTATAACCATACATATAAATGTGATTTATCTGTCCAGCAACATAAATGTTTTTATTTCCCCCAAAAAGTATTTAAAGCATGAGGTGAGGATTATGGTCAGGAAATCATTTTAAGGTTGAATGTAATGTAGAGAGAATATAAAAACGGTTAGGGTTACTTAAATTACAATAAATGATGGTTTGTCATTAAATCCGCATGAAAATACGACACTATTCATTGAAGTATAAATATATGAGGCTAGTTTCACTAGTTTTCATACACATGTATGTTTGGCCTCTGTCACATCTATAGATCAGCTTTTCAGACAGAAAAGTTCAACAAGACGACCACCGTCACTCAGCTTTCAGCCTAAAGAGTCAAATAGTGACTCACAGGACAATTTCCTACATGAATGCAAGAGATAACATGTTTTATAATAAGATTAAGACAGCATCATGCGGTCTGATTTGTTCAAAATATTTGACTTTTAAGACTCTTGAATGAATTGTTTAGAAATAAGATATAGGTACCCCAGCTTTTACTGCCCTACATGAAAACACTTGTTATTCCTTACTGTGTTGACTCCTCCGGACTGGAAGTCTGAGCACATGGCTTTGAGTGGAGCCAGTCCGATGGTGGTGCCCTGGAATAACCTCCCCCTGGAAACACCCAACTGTTCATTAGCTCAAACCGGTCATAAATCACTGTCCCTGCGTCTGAAGCTGGAGCAGGCGGCCATAATGTCATTGGTAATGTAATTGGACATAATGCACTCACGTAATGAGCTGTGCATTGTCATTGGGCAGAGAGCGCAGGTGCTTTCCTCTCCAGGACAGGAACGACGCCAGAGTGCTGTGAGGATTATCGGACACAGCGATCAGGTCCTGACTGGTCCACACCTCCAGACCAATCAACGCCACTCGAATGTTTAGGGATTTGTAGTACTAGGAGCATAATCATATTCATTGTTAGTGTCAGGTATATCAAGAATGTAGTTTAGATATGAGGTTTTCAAACTATTTACTAAACATTTTGAGACACTGACATAATTATTTACCTTATCAACCAAGTTAGCTGCTTCCAGTAACTTCAGTTGAGTTTTCTCAAGGCTGCTCCCATGCTTCTCAAACTGTCAACGACAATTGCCACATCAATCAGAAACTGACACACCCAGTTCAGTTGATCTAACCCAAAACACCAAAACCTCAAGAGGAAATAAACTTCAGTTCACATGGAGTATCACATTTAAAATTATGTCATGAGTCCAGGTTGCTGTTATTAAGTGTGAACAAACAAAAGAAGCAAGATAATAATAAAATGGATATAAACACAAAATAAATAAATAAATAATAAAAATTATGCTTTTTACACAATTCCATAAAAGTGAAGGGAAATCCCTGAGAGCACTTTTCTCAGATCAGAGATAATAAAAGATAATTGGGCCTGCAGCTGGATTAGTGGGTAGATTGTGGGTAGGAGGGATTTAACTTTTATAAGACAAAATACAAAAGTAAGTAAATATACTGTTTATACAAAGACAAATGATAGTAGCCTTGCCAAAAGCATAGTGGTTTTGTTTTATAGGCAACCCACAACAGTCACTATTTAAAGGTACACTGTGTAGTTTTTACTCCCATCTAACTTTGAGACCATATACTGTAATCTACGGTACTACAGTAGCTTCAAAGAAAAATATGTCGTCTTTGACAGTGGTCCTCAACTCTGGCTCAAACTCCTTTTTGTTCCTTATGAACAACTGTGTTTCCAGATGGCACCTTGATATGGAGATTTATAAGTCAAATTCTAAGTCTATGACAACAATTCAAAAACATGGTGGAGGTAAATATTCTTAAAAAGGTCAAATTTTTTATTGGTCAACATGTTTTTTTTTTCTAATTGGAGCAACTGTAAAAATTACACAGAGTACGGATGGACTAATATTATGAGACTAATAGGGCCTCAAAATATCGAGTGCTTGCTCATGTGGGTCCTGTCCAATAGAACTAAATCAACCAACTTACTTTGCACCCACACCTGAAGTGATTAATGTTTATAGTTTCATGGAGTCAGTAAAAATCCTTGTGTATTTAAAGTGCTGAATTTTCTTTTCTTTGTTTCCATGTATTCATTTATTTAGGAAATTGCACAGATACGTTACACAACGTAACGTTGAGAAGTACAAGGTAGACAAAACAGAAACATCATATAGTGAGCAAAAAGAGAATTTACAATATATACTGCAACTGCATGTAAACATAACCTAATTCTGCCTGGAAGGGAGTGGGAAGAAGATAATTTATAACTTATGAAAGGCTTATAACTTGATCAATACATCTGTAATTGCATGACATCATGTCTTGGTCTGGGGGCGAGTGGATCTCTGCAGTGACCTTACCTCAGCTTTGTCCGCCACAAGCATCAGCTCCACATACTTCATATTCTTAGTGAGGTCTCTTTTTTCCTACAAAACCAGACAGAACATTCAAAGGAGATCTGCGGCGTCGTTAAAGCCGTCTGACAGCGGACACGTCCTCCGTGAGCTCACCCTTTTGTTGTGGGGTGACATCATGCCGTGGACAAAGTTATCAAGCCCCCCCTGGAGATCTGCGCCGTCGCCATGGTGATGCGGACAGTGACCCGTCGGGAGGAGGAGCGCGTCGGCTCTGAGGACGGCGTGGGGTTGTTGCCGGGTGTTGTTGTAAACAGGAAGTGGCTCGATCAGGAAGGTGACGTTGGCGTTTACAGAGATGAGTCCCCTGGGAAAAAGAAGACACAGGTAATGGCTGCAACTAATAATAGCTTTGAACGATCGATTTCAGTCGTCGATATTGCTGCCGTGTGTCCATTAAGGAGATTATGCACAGGACATAGCTTCAACATGTATGGCAGCACTCCAGATGAGCGGCACAAGCTGTAATGAGATAAGATCCGTGTCCTGTGACTGCGGGAAAAGACTGGAACTGCAACTAATTGAAGTTATTAAGCTCATTGTTGTAGCACTAGCTTTTAAGTAGTGCTGTAGAAAGTATGGGGGAGGCAGAATTCTCACTCTTCCCAAGGCACGATAGAATTCCTTTCTACAAAACAGCCAGGATGGACACAAAATCTTGAAATGAAAAAGAAAAAAAATGCATTATTTTGAAAATGTTTATTGTAATGCTTCGCTTTTATTTTGTTCTTTCTATTTTTGAAGAATTTATTGGAGATTTAGTGACTGCATTGAATGATTTCCCAAATAACACTCTCATACACATAGTCTGATACACACCTATAAGAATACAGTATAAAGTTTAATTCATATATACAGTCTATGGTTTACTTTACACCAATGAAAACTGGATCCCTCACCTAGTCCAATTCAACAATAAAAAAAAAAGAAAAGTTTTTTCATTTGACAAGGACAGTACAAAAAACAACTATATTGAGTAAGACGCATGTAAACCGCTGCACTACGGATGAGGTATGAAATTTGGCAAAGCTGGATCGAACTATACATGTGTGTTTATGCTGGCATGCAACTACGGAAACTGGAACATACAGTGCCTTGCGAAAGTATTCGGCCCCCTTGAACCTTTCAACATTTCGCCACATTTCAGGCTTCAAACATAAAGATATAACATTTTAATTTTTTGTCATGAATCAACAACAAGTGGGACACAATCGTGAATTGGAATGAAATTTGTTGGATAATTTAAACTTTTTTAACAAATAAAAAACTGAAAAGTGGGGCGTGCAATATTATTCGGCCCCTTTACTTTCAGTGCAGCAAACTCACTCCAGAAGTTCAGTGAGGATCTTTGAATGATTCAATGTTGTCCTAAATGACTGATGATGATAAATAGAATGCACCTGTGTGTAATCAAGTCTCCGTATAAATGCACCTGCTCTTTGATAGTCTCAGGGTTCTGTTTAAAGCGCAGAGAGAACCATGAAGACAAAGGAACACACCAGGCAGGTCCGAGATACTGCTGTGGAGGTTTAAAGCCGGATTTGGATACAAAAAGATTTCCCAAGCTTTAAACATCTCAAGGAGCACTGTGCAAGCAATTATATTGAAATGGAAGGAGTAGCAGACCACTGCAAATCTACCAAGACCCGGCTGTCCCTCCAAACTTTCATCTCAAACAAGGAGAAGACTGATCAGAGATGCAGCCAAGAGGCCCATGATCACTCTGGATGAACTGCAGATAACTACAGCTGAGGTGGGGATGGTGTGTTCAGGGTGATGAGCTGTGTTGCTTTTACGCCAAACATATCGTTTTGCATTGTGGCCAAAAAGTTTGATTTTGGTTTCATCTGACCAGAGCACCTTCTTCCACATGTTTGGTGTGTCTCCCAGGTGGCTTGTGGCAAACTTTAAGAGACTTTTATTGGATATCTTTGAGAAATGGCCACTCTTCCATAAAGGCCAGATTTGTGCAGTGCACGACTGATTCTTGTCCTATGGACAGACTCTCCCACCTCAGCTGGAGTTATCTGCAGTTCATCCAGAGCGATCATGGGCCTCTTGGTTGCATCTCTGATCAGTCTTCTCCTTGTTTGAGATGAAAGTTTGGAGGGACGGCCGGGTCTTGGTAGATTTGCAGTGGTCTGATACTCCTTCCATTTCAATATAATTGCTTGCACAGTGCTCCTTGAGATGTTTAAAGCTTGGGAAATCTTTTTGTATCCAAATCCGGCTTTGAACTTCTCCACAACAGTATCTCGAACCTGTCTTCATGGTTCTCTCTGCGCTTTAAACAGAACCCTGAGACTATCAAAGAGCAGGTGCATGTATACGGAGACTTGTTTACACACAGGTGCATTCTATTTATCATCATCAGTCATTTAGGACAACATTGGATCATTCAAAGATCCTCACTGAACTTCTGGAGTGAGTTTGCTGCACTGAAAGTAAAGGGGCCGAATAATATTGCACGCCCCACTTTTCAGTTTTTTATTTTTTTTTAAAGTTTAAATTATCCAATAAATGTCGTTCCACTTCACGATTGTGTCCCACTTGTTGTTGATTCATGACAAAAAATTAAAATTTTATATCTTTATGTTTGAAGCCTGAAATGTGGCGAAATGTTGAAAGGTTCAAGGGGGCCGAATACTTTCGCAAGGCACTGTATTGGGACACAGCCAGCAGATGCATTTAAGAGCACCTGTATATAGTCAAATATTGAAACCTTACATTTTCAGGATATGTAAAATGTCAGCATTTGATGTACGTATGGTTAATGTAAATTTGTTTCATTTACTGCCGCAATCTTTATTCTTGCGTTATTCTTGTGCACTGAAGTACTGTAGTGACATGTGTACACGCATCAGCCAAGATAAAAAGTTTCTCTCAGCTGATGCGTGTAAACAAAACCAGCAGAAACAGAGGAATTCTTATGGCCTCTGTACAAAAGCAGTCGCCAATTCACAAACACACAATTATCTACAAGAGCGGCGGGTCAGACAGCTGTGGAGAACATCTGCGGAGGTCAGACGCCCACATGAAAACACTCGCACGTCTTTGAATTAACAAGTGTACTCCTCCACACATACAGCAATGAATCGACTCACAAACTGTCAGTGGATTTTTGTCTCTGTCGCCATCAAGAAGCATGAACCCAATGAACCAGCGCAGAGCCTATGACCTACTGACCGAATGGACAGCACAATACACTGCACTGCACTGAATGTCGCTCTCCTCTTCTATCTTCTGCCTCACAGGAAGAACATATTTTTATTCCATATAGAAGGCACAGGACTCTTTGAACTCATCACAGACATTAGGGTAGTCAATGGTGTACAGCACATGTGTCAAAGTCAAGGCCCGCGGGCCAAATCCGGCCCACGAATGAATTTTACATGGCCCGTTGCCTGCCATTGACGCACTATTACTTCAATTGCGTTTTCC